CAAAAGAAAATGAGAAAGGAATGCAAATGTTTTGCTACAAATGAATCAACTAAACACAAAAGAAGACAGTAACACAGAAAATGAGGAACAAAAAGCTATGGAGCATATAGAAAACAAGTAGCAAAATGTAGCAAATGTTTTGCTACAAATGAATCAACTAAACACAAAAGAAGACAGTAACACAGAAAATGAGGAACAAAAAGCTATGGAGCATATAGAAAACAAGTAGCAAAATGACAGAAGTAAGTCCTTCCTTATCAGGAATTACTTTAAATGTAAATGGATTAAGTTCTCTAATCAAAAGACAGAGACTGGCAGAATGGATAGAAAACACATAATCCAACTATATGCTGCCTACAAAAGACTCACTTTATTTTATTTATTTTTTATTTTTTTTAAACTTTTTATTTTATATTGGAGTATACATATACATGTATCCATTCTCCCCCAAACTCCCCTCCCATCCAGCCTGCCACATAACATTGAGCAGAGTTCCCTGTACTATACAGTAAGGTCCTTGTTGGTTATTCATTTTAAATATAGCAGTGTGTACATGTTCATCCCAGACTCCCTAACTATCCCTCCCCCCACTTTCCCCTTTGGTAACCATAAGTTTGTTTTCTATGTCTGTGAGTCTGTTTCTGTTTTGTAAGTAAGTTCATTTGTATCATTTCTTTTTAGATTCTGCATATAAGGGATGTCATACAATATTTCTCTTTCTCTGTTTGACTTACTTCACTCAGTATGACAATCTCTAGGTCCATCCATGTTGTTGCAAATAGCATTATTTCATTCTTTTTAATGACTGAGTAATATTCCGTTATACATATGTACCACATCTTCTTTATCCATTCCTCTGAAAAGACTCACTTTAGATCCAAAGACACAAATACAGTAGATTGAAAGTGAAAGGATGGAAAAAGATATTCCATGGAAATAGTAAGCAAAAGAGAGCAAAAAGACAAAATAGACTTTATATCAAAAAAGGTTACAGATTACTAGGGGTATTAGCAGAGGTAAGGGTGTAAGAAAAAGCAGGCCAGAGAGTACAGAGTTTTAAATGGCAGGCTAGGTATTCTTTCTGCAGTGTGCAGTCATCAAGGCCATCCAGCAGGGAGGAGCCATAATCCTAGACCTGAGTGTGAAGGATGAAATGAGAAGAGTGTGGAGGAAGTCAACTTGGTTGAGGAGTTATTTCAGTTTACTCAGAGAACAATATACCTTTTTCCAGAAATGTCCTGATATAAAATACCCCTAATAGGGTCTGCCTCTGAAAATATGTCTCAAAGAGTTAGACATGATTTTTGAAAGTATAAAATGAAAGACTAAAGCTTGCCCAAGCTCCAGCACCTATTGCCCCAAAATAAAAGGACAAACAAATGTACAGATTTTGACCAAGTTGCTTTTGTTCTAACTGGTTTTTAAGAGAGCCAGCATAGGTTGGCTGTATAATAATACAATAATAATAAAACACAACATTGTAAATCAACTATACTTCAATTAAAAAAAGAATTAAAGGGCTTCCCTGGTGGCGCAGTGGTTGAGAGTCTGCCTGCTGATGCAGGGGACACGGGTTCATGCCCTGGTCTGGGAGGATCCCACATGCCGCGGAGCGGCTGGGCCCGTGGGCCATGGCCGCTGAGCCTGTGCGTCCGGAGCCTGTGCTCTGCAATGGGAGAGGCCACAACAGTGAGAGGCCCGCGTACCGCAAAAAAAAAAAAAGAATTAAAAACAAATAAACAAACAAAATGATTATAGTAACCATTGAATGAGCACTTGCTATGAGCCAGGTACTGTAAATCTTTCCTCATTCAATACTCACAAACCTGTGATGTAGATTCACTTATTATCATCATTTCATAGATAAAGAAACTGAGTCTAAGAGAGGTCAGAGTCAATATGCAGCATTATTTAGATTAAAATGCTGTGCTTTCTATTTCAAAATCATGTCTTTACCCATTGCACTTCATGTGCTTAAGCAGATGTGCTTGGCAGACAGCGTATAGCATTGCCCCTGGGGATGATGATGTGACAAGAAAAGAACTGCTTGACTTCTTTGTGTCTTGATTTGTTCAGCAATAAGTGGAAATAATAACTGCCTTTTTATCAGGCAGAGTAACGGGAGATAAGACTGTTTTTCTCTCTTGGTTTGATTGCAAAAGAGGCCATGTCCACCCATAGGTGTGAATGGAAATAAGAGGCCACTTACAGAGTGTGGTTTGTGTTGGTGGCCCAAGTGCAGCTGCCTCATCTATACAATGGGTATAATAATAATAGTGTCCACCTCCTAGGATGTTTGTAAGGATCCAGTGTATTCATACATGTCACAGATTTAGGACAGTGCTTGACAAATAGCACTCGCTATCTAAATACTAGCCATTACTGGTATTAAAGATAGAAACTTGGCTACCAGGGATCACTGTGGCCATAAATATATGTAACCTCTAAGCAGAGATAGGGAAAAGCCTCACTCACCCTGGCTTTTTCTCAATAGGCATTTAGTTAGGAAGATTAGCTAGCTATAATCTTGGCCAATAGTAAGCAGAGCGCAAAGAAAATGACAGGGATGGAGAAATAACGTTATCAGAAGATAAAAATAGCTCCTAATTTTTACCATTTCTACAATCACGCACCACATTAAGAGTATACCAACTTGGTCTTGCCTACTCCTCACGGTTCTGTGGGGTAGATGTTATTAACTGTGTCCTCTGTCAGCCTCCACTCCCACCTCTGTAAAAAGACAATAGAAGGTGATGGGAGAGGTGGGGGGAGGGTGGTCCTGCTGGGCTCCTGGCTGAGCAGCTTCTCTTGGCTCTCTCCGAGGCAGGAAGCGCCTCTTCCACAGGACATCAGTGTAAGCCTGAATAACAAAAAAAATTTCTCCCTCCTAAGCCATGGCACATCAGTTGCACAGAAATACCATTTTGGGAAACAGTCTTCAGGAGAGCCTCGATGAGCTCATACAATCTCAACAGATTACCCGCCAACTTGCCCTTCAAGTTTTACTTCAGTTTGATAAGGCTATATATTCAGTGTTGGTACAGAAGGTCAGGAACAGAGTCAATTCCAGGGCTATGTATGTTTGGCTACCTTCCCTAAGGAGTTACTGAGATTTCAAACGTCTGAAACATTATCTGCAGGATTGAAGGGCTCTCTGAATACATACAGATTCTGCGATAATGTATGGACTTTTGTATTGAATGACGTTGAATTCAGAGAGGTGACAGAACTTGATAAAGTGAAAATTGTAGCCTGTGAGTGGGACCTCTCTGGTGGACAAGTGGCTAAGACTCTGTGCTCCCAATGCAGGGGGTCCGGGTTCAATCCCTGGTCAGGGAACTAGATCCCACATGCCGCAACTAAGAGTTCCACATGCCGCAACTAAGAGTTGCGCATGCCGCAACTAAAGTTTCCGCACGCGGCAACCAAAATAGATCCCGCAGGCTGCAACTAAGGATCCTGCATGCCACAACAAAGATCCTGCACGCGGCAATGAAGATCCCATGTGCTGCAACTAAGACCCGGCGCAGCCAAATAAGTAAATAAATAATTTAAAAAAGTGTAGCCTGCGATGGTAAAAATACTGGCTCCAGTACTACGGAATGAATAGAAAAAAATTCGCTTTTTAATGCCATCCTGTTATTGTTCATCTCTTTTCGAAGAGAAGCATAGGAGACTTTTTAAAAAATTTATTCTAGCATTGCAGAAATGACTACACCGTGCCGTACTATCAGAGAATTCCAGTAGAAAGAAGCTTATAACTCTGTACCCTCTTACATTACATTTATTATACATCATGAAGAAACAGAACTTTCTTCTTAATGACACATCAAACACTGTTGCCTTCCTAAGACTATTCTTTAATAAATTCATTTTAAAACAAACAAACAAAAAGTGATGGGTATTCTTGCTGGGCAATATGACCCCAGAGCCCACACTTCTAACCTCTACCCTCAGCTTCTTTGAGGGTTTACCACTGGGAACCAGACGTCAAGGTGGGGGGTCAACAGGCTGGGGTGGAGGTGGGGGAACTAAGACATACCATAATTACACCACAGTCTGCAGTAGGGTTTAAGGAAATAAATTATAGGCCCCCAGTACTTTGAGTTTCCTCGTTTAAAATTAGATTTTAAACCCTAGGCCACGAGTATCAATGGTACTTTCTGAGAAACTCTGAGTGAAGCCTGTTGACACAAGTGCTTTTGAAAGTTCAAAACACCAATAGATCTTGTACCCTCTGCTTAGAAAGAAAGGAGGGAGGAGAGAGAATATCTACTTCCCAGGTTTTATAAAGTTTAGGTTAAATTTATACTTATTCTTGTTTTGGGGTGTTTTTTTTTTGCTTTTTAATTGCTTTATTAACTTCACATTTTCCATGTAAATGGGTGAAACTCTGCTGTTGACAGAAACTTAGATTGGGTGCCAAGGCAATCTCCAATTAGAAGCTGGTAACACAGAACCCACCTGACATGGAAATTACGTAAGGTTCACAGCAAATGGATCAGAAAAGGCGTATCAGGAAAATGCAAGAAAAAAGAGAACAACAGTGGGAATCACAGTATTAATCTCATGGAAAATGGCAGGAGTCAATGCATAAGGCAAAATGATGGTCATGGTGATTAGAGAGCTCCCCCATAAGGATATGTAGACAATTCCTCAACTGCATCTCCCTAAGTTTTCTCCTGATTTCGCTCATCTCTTCATGAACATTTCCGTATAATCTCCATCTCCACCCATCCCATCTTTGACCTGCCTATTGGGTATGGCCCATCAGAAATTAGGGGCAAGTTGGCGAGCCTGTCCCCGTCTATTACTTCCTGCCGGCTGGTGGCCTTCGCCCCCTCCCAAAAGGCGGTTTTCCTTTCCTTTTTGCACAGGCTGCTCCATTTCTTCGTCTCCCTGGGCCTGTCCTTGCTGTCTCCTCCTCCTCCCGATTCCTGCCACAAGTGCGCCACCGTGAAACTTAGTACTTATTCTTTATACTTATTTCTATCTTGCAGAGCAGTAGAAATTTCCAAGACTCGTTACTGGGGAAGGCAATGAAATTTCTGTAAGAGTCAGAGGTTTGTTTTCATAATTATCTTCCGTGGGTTGTTTTCCCCTTACAACTATATTTTCATTATAGAAAACTATATGTGTTGCAATATAGGTCCCCTCCAAGTTGTAAAGTATGTCACAGGAGGGTGGACTTGCTCACTAACTCTATGACAACTAACCTGCTAAGCATAACTGCATATTATAATGAACACAAACAAAATATCAAAACTGGGAAGTTTCTTCTTACATTAAAAAAAAAAACCCAAAACAAAACCCAAAGTCCTCATGTGATATATGAGGCCCTACATGATCTAGCATACTGCCACCTCTCTGCCCTCATCTCCCTGTCGCCCTGGTCCAGCCATCCTGGCCTCCTTGCTTGTCCTTCAACACACCAGACATGGTCCTGCCTTTGTACCTTTGTACTTGCTGTTCTCTTGGCTTAGAAAAGCCTTTCCCCCAGATTATGCATATGATTTGCTCCCTTACTTCATTCACATTTGTTCAAATATCACTCCCTCAGGGAGACCTTCAAATTATCTCATCTAAAATCAAGCCACCCACCCCACCCTCACATCCATCATCTTCTATTCTTTGGTTTGCCTTTTCTTCCCCATAACACAAATCACCATCTGATACTTTATTTGTTGATTGTTGATTGCTGGGTTTTCCCCACCAGAATGTAAGCTCCATGAAGGCAAATCTTTGTTTTGTTTGCTGCTGTATCCCCAGCCCTAGAACAATGCCTGGCACCCAGCAGGTGCTCAATAAATGAATGAAGTGAAACTAATGAAAAGATGTGGGTTCCATGACAGGAAAGAGCTTGCACTGGGAACCCTGCACCAGGTGGTTTAGGAGATGCCGACCATCAGAGCCAGAGATGACCTTGAGAAGGGAAGAGATCCCTGGGAATTCACAGAAACCTGGGGGGTGAGTACCAGACTTTATGAAGGGGGTGAAAGGGGGAATATGGAGTAACTCTAACTGACACATGCATCACACACACATTATCTTATTTCATCTTAATATCACAACAGATGAGGAAACTGAAGATCAGAAAGGTGAAGTGACTTACCCATGGTTATTCAGCTAAGTAGCAGAGCCTCGATCTGAAGTCAACTCTGTCTGACTCTAGAAACCATGTTCTTTTCAAGACACCACACAGCTGAGGAGAAAGTTTGGCAAAGAGTGTGTGTTCAGTTAAGTAACAGTTGAAGGAATGAACAAATGCTTCATAGAGAAAGTGTTAATTTGGTCTTTTTTGAGATCAAACAGCCTTATGGAGAGACCAAAGGCAGACCTGGAGAAAGAAGGAGATTGAACAAAAAGTTTTAAGATTAGATAGTTAGGTGAGGAGCTGTCCAGGGAACACTGAGTACATCAGCTTAGCTGGATCTTAGAGTGTTAATGGAGCATTTTGGGAGATAAGGTCTCCAAGGACCCAAATGTGAGAGATCTTGACTGCTCGGTTATGGAATTTGGACTTTACCATGAGACGGTGGGGAGCATTAAGCTGTAGAGTAATGTGCTCAGACACTGCTTTAGGAAGTCATTCTGGGGTGCTGGGGATGGGATTACCAAATGGATTTATTGTAATAGTCCCAGTGAAGAGTTATCGCCAAAGCAGTCAATTCTCTCTGAACCCATGAAAGGTTGAGGTTAAAACCAGCCCTGACCTAAACATTCACACAACAGCCACTAGTTGGCAGCAATGTCCCAAGAAACAGGTGAGCCAGCCTCCAAGTAGGAGCTTCCTCAGCCAACTCCTTGGGTTGTGATGGGGTATGGTCACCTGGTGGAACACAAGAGTAGTTGGGAGAACAGCCTGTGTGGAGGGAACCCCAAAGACCCACAGGGGAAGGAGTATGTGGAGGTCAGAGGACAGGGTGATAAATGCCTGGAGGATGGTTGCAGTGAGATGGGGGGCAGGGGTGAGAGGGGAGGCTGCATCTGAGAGGTAGAAACTGATTGCAAATGGCCTTGAATTTCCAGGCTAAGAAAGCTGGACATTATCCTGAGGGAAATGGGGACCCAGGAAACCCATGTTTAAGTAGAAGAGAAACATGACTAGACTTGCCTTTTAGAAAGATCACCAAGATTGCAGTGTGGAGAATGAGGGGAAAGAGACAGGAAGCAGAGAAAACAGTGAGGAGGTGCTGCAGTGATCCCCAGAGAGATGATGAGTGGTCTGAACTAGGGTCAGCAATTGAAGTGGACAGAAGGGGTCAGATTTGTAGGTGACTTAAGAAATAAAAATCATAGAATGAGAAAGAGGGCATTGAAATGTAGTTTTCACAGAAGAGAATGAATATTCTCTCCCCATTATTAAGAACACTTTCTGAATTGCTGGATTTTCTCCCTAAAACTGCAGTGGAAGAGCTCAGATCGTGGAACTTCTTTAGGTCTAAATTTACTCAGTCTGTGGTGAGAACCGGCGACAAAGGAATGACTTAGCAGTTGCCTGCCTCCCCACTGGTGGAATAACAGTCAACTGTACAGTGTGGAGAGGGCTCTGATGGAGGAAATACAGGACAGTGTGGGGTCCAGCGGGGGAACCTGATGTAGGTTTCCAGGGAGAGGAGACTTGTGAGCCCAAAATATGCAAAGGATCTCACAAAACTGTCAGTGAGCTAAGCACTGGAAAAGAAGGGAGTCTGGGAGCAGCCCCGTTATCTGTTTACCCCTTTTCGTCACAAACCGTAGGCGTCACCTTATGCGCGATAAGGTGTCCCAGGTGAGCTACATTCCCCAGGATGAAAGCGCTAACCCAGCCACGGTCGCCAGCTCCTGGAGCAAACTCACTTCCCAGAAGACAGACATGCTTAGTGTCCCTCAGAGGCTCCTGGACCGCCGCCCAGGGCAGACAGGCTGTGATTGGTAGGAGCCCGGGGCCCGCCCCTCACCAGCCCAACACTGCGGTTCTGATTGGTGGAGAAACCACGTAGCCCCGCCTCTCCCGCCAGTCGGCAAAGGAGGCTACCCAGGTGGGTGCGCGACTGCTGAGGGGGCCCTAGAGCACCGCTGTTAGGGTCTGGGAGAGATGGAAGATCGCCCCGGCCCCAAATCTTCTACACCCGCGATGGACTGCAGTCCCTAGAGAAAAGGCGTCAAAGGACCGGAAGCTGTGCTTCCCGGAGCATTGTGGGCCCAGGCGGGGGTGGGCCGGGTCTTCCGGCGCCTGCGTGCACCTAGCAGTTTGGGAAATGGTGGCCCCCGGCACGTTGGTGCAAGCCCTGTGGGGGGCGGGAACCGGGGAGTGGGTTCTCGGGCATTTTCAGACCAGGGTGTGGAGCCCTGGCCTGGGGTGGGGCCGGGATGTTACCGGGCGCCGCCCCGCTTTGGGGCCTCGGGCGCCACTGCTTTGCATTCTTAAGCTCAGGCCTCTAGCGTGCCCCTTCCGCCCCAACCCCACCCCTAGTCCGTTTCCTTCCATCCGGTAGGAACAGCAGCCAGGGTGCCACCATAGGATTTTAAGAGCCCCGAGTGCGCACCTGGCATCCTGGGCCCGTGACTCCTCTTTGCATTACCCCTCCCGGGGGCCCTGCGAAGCAAGAGCTAACTCCTTTCAACAGAAGCCTGCTGGGGCCATGTGATAAGGCCTCCTCCATCGCACCTGGTCCCAGCCCTTCATCGGTTAACCACCCTGCCCCCAGGCTCAGGCAAGGCACAGCCCTTCTCCGAGCCTCACTCCTGATTTGTGAGATGGGGATGGCTAACTCCTCAGATTCTCTGTACCGAATGATAATACACACAGGCGCTGCCAATTACGATGTACCCGTTTTCCCTTCTCACCCTCTCCGTACAACCCCGCTTCATGGCAAGCAGATTTTATAGTTTAACCTGTGTGCAGTTATGAAGGCTTCGACAGGCATATCCACCCCACCCCCCGATTTTGTCAGCTGAGCCTCTAGGGACAAATATCCTTGGTGCTTTTATTTCAACTGTTTTCTGAGTGCCTGCTCTGTGCCAAGCACTGTATTTAGTACTGAAGACCCAGATGAACCAAATTGACTTCTTTCCATGAAATTGAGACTAGTGGGGGAAATAGGAACTTGTGATAAAGGTGGTGATAAAAGACATGTGATAAAGATACAGTGCCACAAGAAAGGAACAAATGAAGTGCTCTTGAAATTCAGGGATTGGGAGAAGGGGGTTAGAAGTCTTTAGAGGGTGTGCAGTAGCCTATAAGCTGGATCAGAGGGGGCATTCTGAATTAAATAGATGGGAGAAGGCAGCTTGACAGCTCACTCTGCCCATGCAGTGAACATGGTTCATTTTGCTTTGGAGGGGCTGGGGGTTTGGGGTGAGGAGTGGGGTATAGGGTGGGGGTGTGTGCAGTATAATTTTTTTTTTTTTTGGCCACGCGGCTTGCGGGATCTTAGTTCCCTGACCAGGGACTGAACCTGGGCCACCACAGTGAAAGTGCCGAATCCTAACCACTGGACCACCAGGCAATTCCTGCAGTATAATTGTTAAAAGCAGGGGTTTTAGCATATTTGCTGTGAGACTTCAGGCACATTAACCTCTCTGAGCCTGTCAAATGTACAGAGATAGTACCTACCTCACATTCAAGATAATGCATATTATCTTGATGCCTGAGCATCAAGGTCAGCACATAGCTGTCATTTTTTTGAATACCAGCTGTCATACGTGAAGGAAAATGGGAATGCCTCGAATGCCAAGATTTTTAGATTTTTCTCTAGGTAATAGAGATCAAACAGATTTTTAAGCAGTAGAGGGTGTTGATCAAAGTTGCTTGGAAGTGACTGAATCTCGGAGTCAAAAAGTCTGAAGCCGCTCTAATAGTTGCTTCTTTCCCATTCCCATCCAAATCTGTCTACCCTCAACCCATATGCATTTCAGAACGATGTTTCTAAAAACCAGCCATTTATATCTGCTTAGGTAAGTTACAGAGTAAGGTGGTGTATTTACAAGTTGGTTTTTCCAGATATACTATAACTTAGTGTCTGTATTTAATATTGACAACCAAAAAATATATATAAATATCTTCCAACTATACACAGCAGGGCAGGAGTGTTCACGTCTTCTTGAATAGTGAGTTCTCAGTTTCCCATGGCCCTCCTCTCTTGGTGACCGTCTGGCCCTCAGTGCAAAGGAGACTAGCACCTGGCAGCCCAGTCTGGCCCTTCCCCTCTCCTCCCTGTACTCCAGTGCTCCCAACTGGTCTCAGGCAAGGGAAGATTAATTTGAGTGGTTGGGTAGGAAGAGACAGGAATGGGCGAATCCTAATGGAGCCTGATCCTGGAGCCTGATCCCTAGGTGGGGAGACCCAGGCCCACAGAAGGAGTGGCCAGAGCCACCTCTTGGGGTAGAAGACTCATGGTTCGTAGTTCGATTAGTGTGTCCTTGGGTCATAGGTCCGGCCCTACAGATTAGCTTGGCAAAGAAGGCAAGTGTCTAGGCAGGGCTTGGTCCCCACCCTCAGGCACTGAGCCATTCAGGGTGAAGCCAGGGATGTGGATAAAGGAGACTCTGGCTGATAAAAAAATAATAACAAAATCAGTAATAAAAAAATTATAAAACCCGTTGCTTGTCTGAATAGATCTGAGCAACAGTCTTTTGTTAAAATCCTGGAGCCATTAAAAGTCCTGAATATTCTTCTGGACATCACTACTGGCTGAAGGAAAGAGCCCCAGGCCCAGCTCTGCTGAGATCTTGTCAGTTTGAAAGTCTCATCCAGCTGCCTGTGCTCCGAGAGATCCTTGGGCTGCTGGGAGCAGACCGGGCTGGTGGTGTGGGGCACCTCACACTTGTGAATCAGCTCCCAGGGGGTGGAACAGCTCCTCGGGTGTCTTGTCACTTTGGCTCGCTCCCCCCTGCCGGAAGCCGGAAGCAATCTCATCGAAGGTCCTGCCTTTCGTCTCGGGAACTTTGAAGTAGGTGAAGATGAAGAACAGAACCAGGAGCACGGTGAAGATGATGAAGACATAGGGACCACACAGTTGCTGAAAGATACACAGAAACACTCGGTTGGAGACCTGACCCTACATTGGGCCGTAGGACCTTGGCTAAGTCACTTTACCTCTGGGCCTTTGATCTGAAAAAGGGAACACCCACCGACAACCCAGGAGCATTGGGATGTTAGTATTAGACTCCGCGGCACCTGGCATGTGATAGGAGCAGTTTCCCACAGCAGAGCAGAACAGAAAATTCAAAGATAAGGAAAGAACCCTGTGTGACTTGGGCTTCTGAGCCTGTTTCCTCCCCAGCATGATTCCCGTAAGAACGGCAGGGACAGCATTTTGCACAGTACTATGGGGTCCTGCATGCAGGAGAGAAATGCTGAGTGTGGGCACTCTGGGAGTTCTCACCTCCACATACTGGAAGCACATGCCCACAATGAAATTTGAGGTCCAGTTGGAGAAGCCAGCGACAGCAATGGCAGCTGGGCGAGGGCCCTGGCTGAAGAGTTCAGCCACAATGAACCATGGGATGGGGCCGGGGCCCACTTCGAAGAAGGCCACGAAGCCAAAGATGGCCACGATGCTCAGGTAGGACATCCAGGGCAGCTGCTCCTGTTGAGGACGAGAGATGGGAGGAAAGTTAGATTGGGCTGTGCTGGATCCTCAGGAGAAACAAACTGCAAAGGCAGCCCAGGGCAGGCCTAAGAGCTCTAGGCTGGAAAGCAGGAGGCCAGGGTTGATCCTGGATTTGCCGTGTGACTTAGGTACCCTGTGCCGGGTCTCGGATTCCTCATCTGAACAAAACAGTTTAAGTCCTGCATGGTCTGCCCTCCCAGAATGGTCATGTAGTTGCATGTGGAAGGCCCTAAGAAGAGGTCCCTGGGGTCCCCTGGCTCTGGCTGTGTAGCAGTCTGCTTACAGTAGGAGGATGTGGGAGAACATTCCTGGGGGTGGGTGTCAGAAGGCTTGTAAGGTGCCCTACTCAGGACTGGCACAGGGCAGGCATGTGGTTTTACGTATAATCATTCTCGAGGAAGCTGCAGTGGAAAAGTTATATGGGCTTTGTTCCAGATCCCAGATCCGCTGCTCACTGCCTACGGTATTGCCAGGCCTCTCGGCCATCACCGCGCTCTCTAAGCCTTGGTTCGGCTGTAAAATGAGTGCACTAGTGCTTTCCTTGCCCAGATGTTGGACAATCAAGTGTTGTGTGTGAAGTGCCTGGGACAGGATTATCACAGAGATTACAGTCACGGGCTTGGGGCCAGCAGACCTGAGGTTGATTCCTGGCTTCGTCCTTTATCTGCTACATTACTAACCTCACTGGGGGAGGCTTCCTCACCTGAGAAATGGGAATATTGACTGAACTACACCTGTGCGTCGTGAGGACTGAGTGAGATGAGGCATGTTTCCACGCCTCTGTGGTGAGGAGGGCATTACTTTCTAGGGCTGTTCTGAAGATGAAGATGCAGAGAAGACTTTGAAAAATTTAGTATCAGGCAAAGTAGCTCCTGGGGAGAGAGAACTTGAAGTCTGGGGCTGGAGGTACGGTGGTGAGAAAGCACCAAGCAGCGAGGAGCCATTTGAAGACAGGATGGGAGTGGGATGGAAGGAGCCAGCCTTAAGAGGCAGAAGGTCAGGCCCATACCCAGGATTGTGAGGGGTGCAGAACCAGGGCGAGGGCAGCCCCCCCCGCCAACACCTGGCCTCCAGTGCTGCTCGCCAGCCTGGGGCTGAGACAGGCACTTTGGGGTCTGATGCCCACGTGAGCTCCCCCCACCTGCCGCCTCGCCCCCCGAGCAAGGCAACTCACCAGCAGCGCCAGCGCGATGGTCATGAGCACCGCACAGCCTGCCATACCGGCCAGGCCTATGAGGTGCAGGGTCCGCCGGCCAGCTCGTTCCACCACAAACAGCTGTGGGCAGAGAGGATGTCAGTGCAGCCTGCCTGGTGCCCGTCTGAACATACCCCTTCCTCCGGGAGGGTGGCCCCCAGTGCTGGGAAAGCCACGTGGCACTGCAGAGATGGACGCCTCCTCCCTGGGGCTCAGCTCGGGGACTACATAGGATCTGAGGGAATGAGAGCTGGCCCCCGAGAGCCAGACAGCTGAGCATTCTGGCTGTGGCCTTGGGTCAGCCACTGCACTTCTCTGAGCGTCAGGGTCATCAGCTGTTTGATAGAGTAATGAACTTGACAAGTTGTCCAAGATGAAATGAGAGAGCACTTAGGGAGCCCGTGATGCGTGCCTGGCTCACAGTAAAGGCTGCTGTTTGGTCGTGAGGCCCTGAGGCCCCAAGCTGGACCCCAGCTGCCGACTGGCTGTGGGCAATGGTGCAAAAGACTCACCGACACGACAGTGAAGGCTGTGTTGACGATGCCGGAGCCGATGGTGGCATACACAGGCTGCTGCACCCCCGCCTTCTCGAAGATGCTTGTGGAGTAATAGAAAACCTACGAGACACAGAATTTGCGGAGCTCAGCCAGGTGCGGTGGCTCTTCCCCGGCCTCTGTCCCAGTGGGGTCAGGACACACGGTCAGTAAAGAATGAAGGGGACACTGCACCAGTGCCCTCATGGGTTCTGGTTCTAAAGGACAGCTGCTCCTCTGGCAGGGGCTCGTCTGTTGTTTTAAGTGTGGGACCTGTCCACAGCACACACGTGACCGCAGGGTTTGGTTGGGGCCACAGGAAAGGGTGGGTGAGGGCACTCACAGCATTGATGCCGGACAGCTGCTGGGACAGCTGCAGCACCACGGCAATGAGGATGGGCTGACGGTAGGCGGTCGAGCGGAACAGCTCCAGGATGGTGACCTTCTTCTCTCGCATCATCTGCCGGCTCTCCTCCTTCATCTCCTGCAGGTCGCGGGTCACATCCGAGGTCCCGCGCAGCTTCTTCAGCACTGGGGGGGCCGGAGGGAAGGCGGGGGAGGCTCAGAGCAGGGAGGAGGCCGGGGCCGGGGGCGGGGAGGGGCAGGGCCCGCCGTACCGCTCTTGGCCCGGTTCTCCTCGTTGCGGTTGATGAGCAGGAAGCGGGGGCTCTCAGGGCAGAAGGGCAGCAGAATGCACTGCAGCAGGGCTGGGATGAAGATGACGCTCAGCAGCAGGGGCCACAGCTCCTGGTTGCCCATGATGGAGTCCAGGCCAAACACCTGGGGGAGGCAGGGCCAGAGCAGCAGCTGTGAACGCCCTGCCCTGGGCCCACTCGCGGCCCCGATCCACCCAGAGGCCTTCTTCACCTGCTTTGTGGCAGCTGCTGCTTTAGAGAGGGCTCTAGTCCTCAGTCTAGTTCTGCCACTAACGTGAGGCTTAACTTCTCTGAACCTCAGTTTCCTCATCTGTGACAAGGGGGAAGTAGGACCTACATCACGGCATTATTGGGGGATGAGATGGCAGGGCTACAGACATATCTGGCAGGGGGATGGGGGCTGCTACTTTGCCACAGGACGATTTAGGGATGGGGCAGGGAGAGCCTCGAGAGAGGGGAGTGCATATATATATATATATATACAGGCATCAAGGTGTGGAGGTGTGAGAGAGTCGGCATGTTGAGGAAACAGTGGGCTGCCCTGTGGTTGGATCCCCACAGTGAGAAGAAAGGATGCAAGGCTGAGTGGGCTGGGATGAGGAGGGTCAAGGCATCTGGACTTGCTCTCCCACCGGGGGGCCCCGGGAGAAGGGTGAGCGGTGTTGGTCTTGGGACCTGCGCCTAGGATGTGTCTACGAGGCTGTCCTTTGCAGGGCTGTGGAAGGCCAGGTGAGGAGTTGAATCTGGACACACACCTGAGGCACTGGAGCCATGGGTGGGGGCTTACCTGGGCGATGAGGATGCCGACGACGATGCCCAGCTGGTGCAGGGTACCCAGGGCCCCGCGAAGGTCTGTGGGGGACACCTCCCCCACGTACATTGGCACAAAGCCAGTGGTCAGGCCGCAGTATACACCAATGACGAAGCGACCCAGGATCAGCATCTCAAAGGACTTGGCCAGTTTTGAGAAGCCCATGAGCACAGCGGACACAAAGGTCAGCAGGTTCATCATCAGCATGGAATTCCGCCTGGGGGGCAGGACGGGGAGGAGGTCACAGGTCAGGCAGGTCCCTGGACCCCCCGGAGGCCCCAGGGGCTGGGCCATAGGTAGACCCTAGGACAGCCAGGGAAGGCCCCCACCTCCCACTCCCTGGGCTGGGCCGGGACCCCTTCTGCTCACCGGCCAAAGCGGTTAACGAAAAGGCCCACAGAGAAGGAGCCAATCATGCCCCCCACGGAGAAGATGGCCACAGAGAGGGACCAGAGCGTGGTCAGTGTGGCAGGCAAGATGCGCTCCCCATAGCGGTGGATCCATGTCTGGTTGTAGAACTCCTCAATCACCTGCAGGAGCAGAAGCAGCCTGGTGGGCGAGGCCAGGACCCAGTCATCCTTCTCCCTTGCACTCCCCCGCCTCAAAGAGGACCATTTTATCACGGCTAGAGGGGGCCCAGGGACCCAGCACCAGGCCCAGCCCCAAACTCGCTGCTTTCTTACGCCGGGTGCCACCCCTTTTGTGGGCCTCAGCCACCCACACCACCGAGGGAGAGTGGTGCCGGCTCTCATACCTCCCCCAGGGGTGGTTTCCAGAGCCCTGTAGTTTCAGGAGCTCAACAGGACTTTCTGGGGATGATGGCAAGTGAAGAGTGGTGGAAGTTCAGGCATAGCAGAGAGAGGCTCAGAGAGAGAGTGCTTCTTCCCGCATGCCCCTCCCCAATCCCCCTTGTGGGGAGGAAATACAGCTGGACAGAGGCCCTTCGAGGAAGGGAAGGGCAGGCTGACTTTGCACTCAGGCCTGGTGTGAGCAACTTGCACACAAATGCTTGTGAGACCCACCCCCGGCTGGCCTGGGAGCTCCCCTCTGAAGGACCCATGGCCTCGTCCCCTCTCTCAGGTGCCCAGTTGGGCGGTACAGGGAAAGCTACAGACAAGGAAGCAGTTCCAGGAACTGGAGACACCTGTCCTAGAACAGGCCTCCCGCTAGCCCTGCCCCCACCAAAGGGAGGGCCTGGCTGGCCCAGGCCCAGGAATGTGGCAGGCAGGCAGCCCTGGTTCTGCTTGCTCACACTCACCCCTCCTCTCAGGTGATGCAGATACATGCCCAGTGCCTCGGGACAAGCCAGACCCACCCAGCAACATGCGCAGCCACAGGCCCACCGTACCCAGAAACAGCCTCCTGTGTACACACGCCATCACACACACGAACTCGCGCTCACGTAATCTGAATATTCCCGACTTCAGCCAGTCACAAACGTGCATGCCCCTCTTCCCCTCCCCACTTGCAGCTCAAACTCAACTCTACGCGAGCCCAACCCATCTGGCACCCCTCCCCACTGCAAGTTTGTGTGCACCGGGCAATATGCAGCCTCTCATACAGTACGATCTCCACTGCTCTTGGCCCTCCGTAACCCTCCCAAGCTCCAGGGGTCTAGCAGAAGAGGAGGCTGTGGGTAGCCGCAACTGCCAAGCCCACAGCCCCAGGAGTGCCCACTGAGTTACCTACTTGTCTGTCCCAGGGAAGCTGGACAGCTCAGAGGTGAGGAACCTGGACGCAACCAAGTTCAGACCCAGCTCTACCACTCATCTCCAGTGTGACCGAAGGCAAATGATTTTATCTCGAATGACATTAGCAATATCCACTTCCATAGTGTTGTGGGAAGTTAATGAAACACCCTTGGCAGTGCTCACATGGTGCTTGGTACCACCACTGAGCTGAGGGACCCCACCACGTTCTGGTACTGATCCAGGGGCAGTGCAGGCCACTGACAAAGGCTAACAGAGCCTGCGTCCCATAATTCAAAGTCAAGGCTCCTGCCAGGTATCAGTCCCACCTCCCAGCATCTCTACTTTTGCCCTATGCACCCTTTCCCCCAGTTCCACGGTTACTCCTCCTGGAGGGCCCACCTGCCTTACCAGGCTGAAACCTTTTGAGACCCAGCTCAGAGGGTCCCAAGAGTCTGTCCTCCCTGAGGGCAGGGACCCCAGTGGATTCACCCCAGGGCCTCTCCCAGAGCTGGTGCAGGGGCGCCTAGCAAGTGGATGGAGGAGCAATGAAAGGGCCTTAGGCTTCCCTCCTAGCAGCCCTTGCTTCTGCCAGGGGCAGAGAAGGCAGATTTCAACAAAACAAACACAAAGTGCTTGTGTTCTTCAAGGGACAAAACCAACCCCAGAGGAGGACTGGTTTGGAACAGTAATGCTCCACTTATCAGGCTCTGCAGAGAGCAAGCTGTCCTGGATAAGGGAACTGCCCAGATAGATGGCCCTCACCCCTTGGAGGGCCCATCATCTGGCTGGAAATCTTTCTCCCTCCCGTCCCTCACACTCTGCCGCCCAGAGCAACCAGACCTACAAGCAGGGCTCCGGGGCACTGATGTCCTTGGGGCTCTCTGCAGGGGCAAGGAGAGGTGTTTGCCCCAGATGACACTTAATTTTTGCATGCTGTAGTTCTCAGGCTCACCCCCTGCCCCCTGTGTTTCAGATGCTTGTCTCATAGAGCTCTCCACATCTCGTTTTAAAATTTTTCAAGTCGGCTAATGGAACTTGCCTGAATTGTACGCAGAGCCAATACGTGTAGTATTTAGGCAGTAAGTGCTTACTACCTAAATGGGTTTAAGGGTGTGAGGCTGAGGTCTTTAACCCTCTCCTTGGGATCTGGCTGGAGATGTTGAGGAGCCATGTGTTAGGTGAGGTGTTACCAGAGGCTCCCCAGTTAAGTCTCCTGCATGTGGTAACAAGTCAGAGGGGCCAGACCCTGGCCATGGCTATAGCTCCTTTATGGCTCCTGAGCCCCTTGCTGCCTAGACCACTTTATGGGGTTGAGGCGCAGTGAGCAGCGAGCACCGTCCACCTTGGCCCCAGGCTCATCCTCTTCACCCCCCCCAGCAGCACTTCTTGGCCAAGCCGAGGTTGCCCACTGGGTTCCTGCCTCTTGATCTGGTGCTTGAGATTTGTGGGAAGAAGCCAAGTGTGGTTTTCCTTTCCTGCGGGCGGTGCATGGGCTGTTTGTCCTCTCCCCTCGGGTCCATGCCCTGTGTGGGGGGTGAAGCTGGCCCTGGGCCCAGGAAAGGTGGTGGGTCCCTGGAGGACAGGAGAACCCTGCGTGGGGAAAAGTTCCGGGGTCACCTCTTCCACCCAGCCGCTGCCTTGAGCATCATCCAGCGGTGGCTGGGTGCCCGTCATGGAAGAAGAGCCTCCTTACTGCTCTGCACCCTTAACAGGATCCCACAGGCCCGGTCTCGGCAGCAAGCTTCCTGGCGGCCTCCTCAGCCCCGGCTCATGTCTGAGGCGAGGCCTCACACGTGCTTCTTCTGAATGCTTTTTCCTCACATTCTGGTTACAAGCCTGGGAGCTACCCTTGATCCTGCCACTGCCCCACATGCAGTCACTCACCAGGTCCTGTCCATAAAATCCTACCTCCTTATCGGTCCTCCTCTCTACTCACGCAGCACCTGCCCTAGGTCTCACCTGGATTCTGCTCCTGACTTCTCCCATCCACCGAAGCCAGATTCCGATTCCCACCATTATTCCCTGACTTGGCAGTCGAGCCCTGGACATCAAGCAGACCAGGCTCAGCCCTCCATTTGTCTCTGTTCCCTTCCCAGCCCATTCCCAACCCCTCTCCCTGCCAAGGGTCGGTGTGAGTGCACGTGTGCTGGGGAGAAAGGGCAGGTCCCAGTCAGCCATGGCATCAGGCTGTTGGAAGCTGAGGGGCTATTAGAGCTCTTTCTCTAAGCATCCCCTCATTGAACCTAGGGCAGAGGCTCACTTGGCGACACTGTAGGGGCCAGCCTGGAGAAGCAGGATGGCCCTGGGCAACTGCCATCCCTTGGACTGAATGGTTTCCAGTAAAGAGCTATTCCTCATCCCAGCAGTTCTCCTGGGGGTGAGGGTGGGGAGAGGCTTGTGTCATGTCTGTCATCCCCCCTCCCTTCCCTGCCTGGGTAACTGTGGCTGAAGGACCACAGGTCTCTCTGTTTAGAGCAGAAGTTCTGACTTTCTCTGTGTCAGGGCAGCGTCTGTAGTGAGGCTCTGGGTGTGAGGTGGAGCCCACTGCCTGGCACATGGAGTAAGCTGTTCCTTGTGTCACTGTTCTCTCAAGGAGAGAAGCCATCTCCTTGAGAGGAACATTAAGGACAGAGTTTTCCATTTTTTAATTACTGCAAGACAAAGCATTAACCTAGGAATTTATAGTACAAGAAAGAACCTGAAGGAACTAGAGGCTTGCCTTGGGGAGTAAAGCTCTATCTTCAGAGCTTGCTGGCTGCCCAGGCCGAGGGACCCAGCAGGTCTGCAGAGCCCCAGGGCACAGACTTCAGCTCAGGGGAAAGAAGAGCTTTCTAGGCTTCAGAGGATGAGATTACCCATGTTACAGTTAGTGAGTCCCCTGTCAGCAGGGAGCATACAAGTCAAAGTTTGGATCAGGGATTGATATAAACAATTTATGTGAAAGGCTAGATAGAAAATATTAGAGTCTGTTGATGACACATGGCCTCTGTTGCTTATTTTTCTTCCCTTCCCTCCCTCCTCGCCACCCCAACCTTTTAAACACGTAAAACCCATTCTTGGCTCATAGGCCACACAAAAACAGGCTGCTAGCTGAATTTGGTCCCCCTGCCAACCCGTGTTCTAGAATTCCAGACCACTGCCAAGAGAAGGGGTATATGTTTTGGAATTTCTGGCCGCTCTCCACATCTTCCCTGCAGAGGCCTGGTCTCCTAGATCAGCGGGCCCCAACCTTTTTGGCACCAGGGGCCGGTTTCATGGAAGAGGGTTTTTCCACGGACCGGGGGTGGCGGTGGGCGTGATTCAGGCAGTAGTGATTCAGGCAGTAACGTGAGCGGTGGGGAGCAGCTGACTGGCCCGCCCGCCGCTCACCTCCTGCTGTGAGGCCCGGTACTGGTCCCTGGCCCGGGGGTTGGGGCCCCCTGTTCTAGATCATCCTGAGAGGGAATCAGCTCTCTCTCAACCCTTTCTTCTCTCTCTTAGATATACTGTGGGCATGAAGGGGTTAAACAGCTGCCCAAGCTTTGAGGTCCAGTCGCGAGGAAGAAAGGGACAGCTTGTCCAGTTCAGCCCCTCAGCCCGGCTTTGACCCCTATTTCCTGTTCCCTACCTACCCCTCCCCCACAGCTGGGGCTGCCCCCGCCCCTTGCCCCAGGCGGTATGTCTCCATAGCAACTCAGCCACGCCCCAGGGTCAGCTGGGAGTTCGGAGACAGATGCTACAGGTGGGGCTGGACAGATAACTTCTGGGTTCCTCAGGGCCTCTCCCTGGGGCCTGGTGAAGAGGCCCAGGCAGCCAGATGGAGCTAGAAGCTGGGCCCCAACCCCAGAGCAGATGATCGGACCACCCTGGCTGCTTTGGCTGCTTTTCTGGAAGAGCCCTGATAGGGCTTCTCTCCAAGCCTTTGCTCTGACCTCCTCACTGGTCCCTGGCGTCTGGGGTCTCCCCTGCAAACAGAAGGATCTTCATTTCCCCTGCTCACAGCTTTTCTTGTCTCCCCACCACCCTCAGGATGAAGTGTCTCTTCCCACCCCACATGGCAACGCCCCCATGCTGCCCGGGCACCCCACACCTCTGCACCTTCGCTTTGCTGCTGCTTCGCCTTCTGCCTGGTGAGCTGTTGGTCACTTTCTAGAGAACGCGCCATCCCTCCTCTGGAGAGCCTTCATAACCTCTTCATTACTGCAGTGGTTCCCAAACAGGGGCAATTTGCTCCCCCCCCCGCAATGTCTGGAGACATTTTTGGTTGTTACACTGGCAGGGGTAGAGGCCAGGGATGCTGCTAAACATCCTACAATGCATGGGACAGCCTCCGTAATGCCAAAGAACTATCTGGCCACAAATGTCTATGGTGTTGAAAAAAACCCTCCTCTATGGGCCAGGTACCCTCTCCCTCCCCCTTGTCCGCTTACACCAGCCTGTCCTTGTTTCCATCACTGCCCCGGACAGCTAACTATGAGGCACTGTGTGCTCCCTCTAGACTAAACTCCAACAGGGGGACAGTCTGGTTCATCTGGGTCCCAGCACAGGGCTGGAGGCAGAAAGCATCGTCACTAATTGATGAACAGGCCATGAACCGGAGAGGCTTAAGAGATGATGGAGCTGTGGCAGGGTGTCGTGGTGTAAGAGGCTGTGCAACTGTGCGTGGGAAACTGGGACGTCTGTGCATGACTCAGCTTGAAGTAAGAGCAGGAGAGAGCAGCAGGGTAGCAGTTGTTGGCATGTAAAAGGGTGTTTCGGTGCCTGTAAGTGTAACTGCCATTTCTTCTGTGGTGGTCAAGGATGTAGACTGGAGCCAGACTCCCTGGATTTAAATCCCAGCTCTGCCACTTACTAGCTGTGTGTCCTTGGTTTAATTGCTTAACATCTCTGTGCCCTAGTTTTTTATAAAACAGGGATTATGGTGTCTCCCTAATGGGGTTATATTATATGGAACAATTGAATTATTGTTTCTAATGCATTTGGAACAATGCCTGGCACATGACAAGTGAGCTGTAAGCTGTGAGAGTCCGTATAAGCGGAGATGGGCGAAGGGGAGAGGGGGCCCAGAGCCATTTGGATCTAGGCAGAGATAAGGAGAGGCTGCCTGGAGCCTGGGCTGGGAAGCCCATCTTGCCTCCAGTACTTTCACTCACCAAGCAGGTCGTCCTGGGCAGACCTCGCCTGCTCTCTAGACCAAGTTCTTCCTTTGGCAAACAAGGAACGTTGAGCCTGCGGACTGTCAGGCCCCTTCCAGCCCAAGCGGTCTGGTTTCTGAGGATGCCTCAGACATGCCTGACACTGTCCCTTGGCCAGGAACTCATGGCTTCTCAATGGCCTTTAGTCACCTCTGTTGGCAGCTCAGCCATTTGGGGAGGGGAGAGGTAGTTCTCTCCACTCAGTATGATGGTCAGGATGCCCTTGCTCATTTATCTGCTCTCTGTGTGACTGGGCTCCCCTCCTACCCTGCAGAGGCCGGAGGCCTGGCAGGGATGTCGTCATCAGGCGTGAGGCCTGGCGTCCATCTGTAACTCAGCCTCTCACTCTCCAGGTGACCTCTCCCAGCCTTGGTGCCTCCTTTATGAGGGGAAGATAAGCCCGGCCCCACCCACCTTGTGGGACTGCTGTGAGGAGGTAACTTATTAGGAGGTGCTTTGTAAACATTTAAGATAATGTTATGATTAATTAACCACTTCCAAGAGGAAGCCCTTTGGGGCCTGTTTTATGGAGGAGACCAAGCTTCTGGTAATTAACAGCAGTACTGGCACCCTCCCCTCTAGTGGGACAAAGTCTCCATTGGCAAGTAGGCCAACCTGGCCAGCGCAGTGCAGTTTCCTAAGGGAAGTGCCTCTAGACAGACAAGGGGGGTCGGCCTGGTCAGCGCGGGCCGTTAGCAATTCCCCATCAGTGGAACACTTCACGCCACCGCATCTCTGCACAAGCCGTTCCTATTGCCTGGGATACCCGCCCCTCCTTCCCTGGGATACCCGCCCCTCCTTCCCTCTGGGGCCGATTTGCCCTCAAGGTCTAGCACAGCTGCTAACTACTTCGTGAGGCCCTTTCTGTCTCTGCCATCAGCCCTACCCCCAGCATTAGTCATTCCTTTCTCTTCGTTCCCATAGCACCGAGAAGCCCTCCGTTAATAATACTGCGGCTTTTCCCAAGGGGTCTCCCCTCCCCACCCCGCCCCTGCACTCTGGATGGTTGAATCTTTGGAGGGCAGGGACAGGGCCCAGCTCTGAGGGCCAGGGTGAGCCTGCGGTGTTCTCGGCTCTATCCCTTCCCCATCTAGGGCAGTGCCTGGCATAGTCCACGTTGAGTGACGGTGTTGGCACAATCACTGGGCCCTCCCAGGACAATGGCTATGGTGCCTCCCGAGGCACGGCCGTCGGCTCTGAGCCCCGCTTTCATCTCTTCCTCTAGTGTCGTCCTCTCCCCTCTTCACCTGTTAAGTTTATCCCGTTTGCTCCGGGTTGGGAAAACTATGAACAGGCTTATGAGAAGTGTCTGTAAAGTACAAGAGTAAACAGGCGGAGGAGTGCCTGAGCACACGGCCCCGGAAATGCCACGCAGGTCTCTCACCTCAGTCCTCAGAGGCCGGCTGCCCAAGTGACCTTTGGACAGGTGCCCGCAAATGCTCCTATAAATGTTTACCGCTGGGCCCTCTGTGCTGCCGGGACCCCCTGCCCGCTGCCCCGCCCATCTTCCGCTGTAATTCTCACCTTTCGCCTGTTTCTGATTAGATGGGAAGTCCCAAGAATTAGAGAACATCACTCTGGGTTTGTCCACAACTGCACCCTTGGAAGTGTCTTAGTCCCTTCCGGCCAAATGCGACCCCTTTGCCTCTGCTCCACCACCACCGGCCTCCTGAAGGACCACCCCCACTCCTTATCTTCACCCTCTCCTCCTCTGCTGATTCCTTACAAGCCGTTTAAAACTGAAGTCTTCGTATTAAAAAAAACCTTAGCCAGACAACCCCTCTGGCGACCACCCTTCTTTCTTCCTTCTCTACCGAGTCCCTTGGAAGGGCTGTCTCTGCTCTCCCCCATCTCCCTTCTCCCTGTTCAACCCACTGCAGGGAGGTCTCTACCCACAGGATTCCACTTGGACAGCCTTTGCCACGGCAGGGTCACCGGAGGGTCTTTTGCCTTTGGCAAAATGGAGCTGATCTGCCCAGGTCAGCCTCCGGAGCACCGGATAGCATCCCTTCACTCCGTCCACATCTGAGTGCCTGTTCCTATGGACGGGCACTGCTCTAGGGACGAAGGACATGGCCATGGACGCTCATCCTCAGGCGCTTCCATTCTTCCTCTGGCTCAGAAGGGTCTTGTCTCCCGGCGTAGAGGTGCCAGCTCTCCTCCTCCTTCCCAGGATCTTCTGTCAGTGGGTGTGCTCTCCAGGGCTTGACCCTTACTTCTCCTTTTACTCTGCAGTCCCTCTGGGAGATCCTTTTCTATCACTATGGATACCGGTGACCAACCTATCGGTCTTCTCCCACTGACTACCCTCCAAAGAAACAGACCCCCGTGTCCAAGTGCTTGTCCCGCTGTGTCACCAAACCTCAGTTCCTGCGTATCCCACAGCACCTCCCTGCTCTGCCTCCAGACCCACATCGCCCAAACCAGAAATCTAGAAGCCAGTTTTAAACCCCACTCTCTCATCCTCAGGCTGAACTGATGATCAGCTCCTGCGCATTCTTCCTACTTAGTGTTGGTTTTTCTACCCCTATTACAACAGCAGCCTTCTCACTATTTCCCTGTCTCTAGTTTCACATTCTGAGACCCATCCCACTGCACCAGACGCCTGAATCATTGCCCTAAAATGCAAATCTGATCCTATCTACCCTCTTTAGTGGAGTTCTGAAGTCCACACTCCCCAGCTCGGCCTACGCATTGGTGCCCACCTGCCCATTCTTGCTGTGCCATGCCCTGCCAGTGGCTGAAGAGTCTACAGATGAAACTACCGACCACAAGAGCCCCTTGTGGGCAGCTTCTGGCTTACCTCGTCGCCCTCCCATCCTTCTCCCTCCTCCCATTTACCCTAGTGACACAAAGACTTTCTTTCCTCTGGGCATTTTATCCCCACCTGTGGGCCCCTGCTTACCACAACCCTGTTCTGTTTCCGGAAAACACCTCTATCCTGTTCTTAGAGTCCTAGTTCTGTCACCGCGCGTAACTCACTATGTGATCACAGTCATGTGATCACCCCTGACTGTGATCACTTAATCCAGTGCTTCTCATCTTTTGACTGCACATTAGAATCAATTGGGGAGCTTTAAAAATCTGATGCCCAGACAGCATCCCAGACCAATGAGGTCAGATTCTGTAAGTGTCAGGGGACACTTACTGATGTGCAATCAAGTGGAGAACTCAACCTGTCTCTAAGACTGTACACACTTTGCATCTGTAAGGATTCCCAAAGGGAGCCAGCTCCGAGGCACACACCTTGGCAAGATCTGCTCAGAGCACTTAGCAAAAGCAGGGCTTGGAACTGTTTCAAGCATGGGCCCACGGTCACCACTTCCCACAAGCTTGGAAAAGCCCCATCACGTCCGCTACAGCTGAGCATGACTCAGCAGGCCTGGCCGCTCTGGTGACCTGCTCCCCAGCATCGGGCATGGCCCTCACGGCCACCCTCCGCCTATTTGGAGGAGGCCCAGCTCCCCCACACGGGCCCCAATCCTCGGGAAGCAGCCACACTCACTTCCTGGCCTCACCTGTCTGGACCATGAATGTGGCCTTGACAGGACAATCCACTCTCATCTTGTCCTGCCCGGGAAGGTAGAGACTTTTAAACTGACCAGGTGGCTGGTCCGGAAGACAGCCTGAGGTTGTGTAAACAACAGAGTTTGGCTTCTGACTCCACCATCCCCTAGCTATGTGGCCTTGAGCCCATTGGTCCTTTCACCTGCCCTGGGCCTCGGTTTTCGGGTGTATAAAATGGAAATCACCGCCCGACCTTATGAATGTACACAACAGGCCTGGCGCAGAGGAGGGACTCGTTACAGTCTCCTTTCCTGCCCCCATCCTCCGCTCTCCTCCCCAGAGCAGTGGGTTGGCTACGCTGGAGGCCCTCACCGGGGCACCCCCCAGTCCCGACACTGGTGAGCACATGAGGACAGATCTGGGCTGTGCTGTGGGGAGAAGGGAATAAGTGCACACTTGCACCCCTCCAGTTCCCTAGGGCAAGACGCCATTTTTGCTTTGCCTGGCCCAGGGCCTCCAGGGAGATAGGCAGTTTCAGCCTAGAATGGGCTCCCTTACAAGGGAGTGTGCTGCATGTGGATGGGTGAGAGCACGGGCTTGGGGACCACCTGGCAGGGAGGGCGCCAAGGCAGACTGGTGTCGTATACCAGCTCCATCCCTGACTAGCTGGTCATGCTGGGCAGGTTCTGGCCATTCCCCACACCTGCAGGGTAGGAGTGGGCACGGCTGCCTGCCTGCCTTAGGGCTCGGTGTGAACAGGTGAGAAAAGCACCACGGAAGCCCTCTGTAGCCCCAGAGGGCCGCACGAATGCAGCATCACTACACCGAACATGGCTTCAATTTTTACAAATTTCTGTGTCGGGTGGGAGGTTGGTCAAGATGACCTATAAAGGGCTTCCCTAGTGGCGCAGTGGTTGACAGTCCGCCTTCCAATGCAGGGGACATGGGTTCGTGCCCCAGTCCGGGAAGATTCCACATGCCGTGGAGCGGCTGGGCCCGTGAGCCATGGCCGCTGATCCTGTGCGTCCAGAGCCTGTGCTCCGCAATGGGAGAGGCCACAACAGTGAGAGGCCCGCGTACCACAAAAAAAAAAAAAAAAAAGATGACCTATAAAGACCCCGTGGTTCTGTGGGCCCCAAGGTTCCAAGGCCAAAGCTAAGAGTCTCTAACCCATTCAGGGCCAGAATATTGGCTGGTAAGGCAGATGGTGAGTTGATGTAAATGACTCCAATGTCCAAGAGGCAGGGTGAGCGTGTGTGTGTGTGTGTGTGTGATGGGGGCAGGGGTGCACAGCAGAGCCCTCTGGTCTCGAGAAGCCTAGGACAGCACAGCACTCACCTTCTGGGGGGCATTGATGACTCCAGTGTTGTAGCCAAACTGCAGGGAGCCGAGCACTGCCCCTCCCACAGCCAGCATGAGGCGGCCCGTCAGCTTCTGCAGAGAGAAAACCCCACACTGTTAGAGGCACGTCAGGCCCAGGTTACTAGAGGGCAGGGCCTGGGCTGGCAGGTTCCCTTGTTCAGATAGCTTGCCTGACTCCTGGCACCACACCAGCCCTTCTCTGAAGAAACCTGGCCACTTCCTGACCTCAGGTGCCCAAACCAGCCCTGCCAACTTCTAGACACCGGGCTGGCCAGACTCATTCCTGGGGAGAGAGGGTAATTAGGGTCTTCCCCCTCTCTGTAGCCAGGGCTTGGCATTCTCCGGGGTCTCATTCCCCTGTTGAAGCCATGCCTGGGCTTGAGGTGGCTCCAGACTCTCTGGCTGGGAGGCCCAGGAACCAAGGCAAGGGGGGCCCAATTACGTGGGAGGAGCGGCATGGATGGGCAAAGTGCCCTGGATTTGGAGCCCAAGATGCTGGCTTCTAATTCCAGCCCACCTGCCTCCTTGCTCTGTGAATTCCAGCAGGTGAGTCCCCTTCCCCACTCCTCCCGGCCCGTCTGTTTGCTTGTCTGCAAACCCTCGCCTCCATTCACAGGGTAGATACTGAGGCAGAGACAAGTTCCAGCTTACTCAGGGGTCTGCAGAGAGCCAGGCTGAAGCTCGGGGCAACCATCCCCAGACCACGAGCTTCCCAGGGTTGCTAGGACACAGATGACATACCAGCCAGGAATGTGCTTTGGAAAAGTACACGACACAAGGTGAGTAAGAGTGCTGGGTCGAGGTGTTTCCAATGGGCAGAGGGCTGGGGGAGAAAAAGGGCAGTGGGATTCTGTCACCTGGAAGCCAAGGGCCGGAGGCAGCAGGCAGGGAGGAGGCCAGCAGGCAGGAGGGCCCGGGGAGAGCAAGGTGCCTTGCTAGGGAGAGGACTTTTGTTTTCTTTTAAAATGAAGAAGCCAAGATGTATGACAGTTAAGGCAGGCCCTTAACTGACCGAAAGAACGGGGCCCGGGGGGGAGGGATGCCAAAGAAATGATGGGCAGGCATTCACCAGGTGCACCACACGGGGCTGGGCACTGGAGGGGAGGGGTGGAGGCACAGATCCTGAGCCGCACCTACCTGTGGAGGAGAGAGCCTCAGCTTGGCGATGGCCTTGGTCTCCCCCCCTCCCCCCAGAACCCAGAAGCAGCCCTGACTTCGAGATCCTCACAGATAGCGCTGGGCTTAGCTGTTAATCAGACACATTCCTAGTGTGGTCTTTTCATTCTCTAGAAGCCGGCAGGCCATCGATTGCGAAAGCTAAGGTTCTCACGTCAGAGGCTAAGAGGAAGGTTTCAGCCAGCAGTTCAGAGCCCATTCCTTGTCAAGGGAGAGCTGGATCCTTCCTTCCCATGGGCTCCTTCCTGGCCAAACTCTGGACATTCATCCTAGACGCTGGGGCTTTCCTCACAGCGGGCTGCACTCCCTGTAAATCCTGTCTGTCACGGCCCACCCTGCCCAGCACCCCTCAGAGCCTCCCTCCCAACTCCTTAGGGAGCCTTCAGACCCAAGGCTGTTGGTTCCGAGTGGGTGGTGAGCACCTGACAGGCCTCCTCTGGTGGGCCCCGGCCAAGCCCAACTCCTCGGGTGACCACTGGGATTAAGTAAGAGGAGGTCACAAGGACAGCACGACAGCGGCTGTTGAACCCCCATGTGGGGGCTTTCTGCCTGGTGAGTCACAGGTGTCACGGCTCAGGGTTGGCCTTGAGGTTGGCCATCGTCTGATACTAATGGTATACAAGGTATATATTATTCTAGTACACGCTCGAATAAATATAAAACTAGCAATGCAAACCTATGATTTGAAAAAATGTGGCATAGCTATATAATGGAGTACTTAACAAAGAAAGCTCTCTAGCTACTGATTTGGCATACTCCCCAAGTTATAGTAAGTAAAAAGCAAAGCTTCAGAACAGCGTGTTGTATGCTACCTTTTGTGTGGGAGGAAAAAAAAAAAGGCTAGGATGGGGGAGAATATACACATCTACTTCCTTAAAAGAATGCACAAGAAAGGTAACAGGGTACCTTGGGGATCTGGGTGGCAGAGGCAGGGTAGAAGGGAGAATTTTCATTTTATATCCCTTTGTACGTTTTTGAATTTTGAACCACATGAATGTATCACCTATTCAAAATATTTTTTACAAGCCCTGTGGTTTCATATTATTTAGAACACAGCAATTTAAATAAAAATAGAAGTGAAAAATGATACAGATGATATGCGGATCTGGTAAAAATCGTGCCCTTGCATGAATGCCCTCGCAGAAGGGGCTCTGCTGGGGGGCAGTACTATTACTACAGCCCTGTCTCCAGTCTGGCTCTGGTGTGCCAGGGGTCTCTGGGCCTCTGAAATCAGTCTTGGGGCCCTGCTGAGCAGCTGTGCCTCTGAGAGCGGGGGCTGCTGGGAGCCAAGGACAAAGCCCTCTGCTGGACTTTGCCACTTGGCAGGTCAAGGTCAAACTCTGCTTTAGAAAACCTGCCTACCCACCGGCTGGGTTATATCCACATCCACCCAGGCAGGCTGCTGCATCAAGAACTACTAAAAGGCTCAGTGACTCGTGCCCCGGGCCCTGGTCCTGACATCAAGGAAGAGGCATCAGGTCCCTTGGGAAGGGGAGGCTAGTGTGGTCTGAGCTTCATCTGGGGCACTGCGGGAGCCCTGCAGGGACAGACTTGTAATTTTGCCTGGGACAGTCAATCAAAGGTGGGTTCCTGGGAGGTGACACTGGAGTTGGGCCGTGAAGGACATGCAGGGAGTCTGCCAAGTGGAGAAGCGGTGGCAAGACTGCATTCCAGGTAGACAGAACAGTACGTGCAGGGGGAAGAAGGGGGGGCCCTGCAAGGCCGGATCTAACGGGGTGCTCAGTGTGGCTGGATGCTAGATCCAGGGGAGGAGCATGGCCCCCGCTCCTGGGTAGGCAAGCGGCACCCACCACCTCTCGCCCCCACCGCACCCGGCGTGCTCACGACAGTACTTGGAATCAGGAGACCCAGGCTGAAAGGCATCGAGCTGCTTCCCTCACCTTGGAGTTGAGATATGTGGTAGCCCTGACTCTGGGTCTCAGTTTCTTCACATAAGAAATGGGGATAAGAGTGCCTTCCCTTAAGGCTTGCTGTCAAGCTCTGCATCATGGAGCCGGCAGGGTTCACTCGACAGGTGTTCGCTGAATCAAGGAGGGATGGGAAGTCCCCGTGGCACCATCTGCCTCCACCAGTCCCGTGGCTGGAACTGAAAGGCGGTAATGAAGTCCATTCATTCAACATGTATATATTTATGTGCCAAGCTGATGGACTCGTTGGTGATGCCTTAAAGAAGGGGTACAAGCCCCACAGCTCACGGCTTTCTTGTGGAAGCCTTTTATAGGGGTGGAGGAGCAAGGGAGAGTCCAGAATCTGGGACCACGGCCGCCCATCACCACCCCTGGGGATGGGGCTACCTCCTAGAACATCCCGTGCTGTTCCAGGCCTTTGCCCTTGCTGTGTGCTCTACAGTCTCCAGCTTCTGCTCCAAGCAGTTGGGAATACCCATCTGCTGTCCACCCACCGCACTGGGAACTCCTTAAGAATGGTACCTAGGGTGCCCAGAGTAGGGCGCAGCGCTGAATATTTATACAAAGCAAACCTGTCACTTCTGAAATTAACTTTTTGGGCAAAACTGGCTCTGCATGTATCTGTTCTCTGAGAACAGTGTTCATCCTAACAGATTTGAACTCGGACATGTAGCAAACCCCTGATGGGTACTGGAACATCAGCTCTGAGAGCTGGAAACAGCCTAAAAGTAACTCTCCAGGCCCCCACCCCAACCCACAGGGCTGTGGAGGAACGACCTCTGACCCGAGTTCAAATCCTGATTCTCCTAGGGGTGCCTCAGGCCTCTCAGTTCAGCAAGCGCTTGGGCTCGGGGTCCTGCACGAGGAGGCTCTCATGCCCTCACCCCTCACCACCCCATCCCAATTCTGGGGGTCCTGAGGCCCACTTAGAGCTCTCCTTCTCCCAGGAAGCCACTGATGAAATGTTGGCTTCAGAACCTCTCCTCCCACACACGGGGATGCCGGGTGGCCTAGCCAGGTCATGTAACTTGCCAAGCACCGTGCGTGGCCTTTCGACTTGCGTCCGTGGGCCGGGCCTTTCCCTGGCATGTACTCCAGCTCCGGGCTCTCCCAGTCAGTACTGGCGGAGGGAGGGCATGTGGCCACACCATTCAGAGGTAGGTTACTCCCAGTGGGAGGAGGGTCCGGGAGGAGGGTCCTGGAGTGGGGATGAGCCAGATGTCACTCACATCCTTTCCTCCTCCCACAGCTCCTGAGTAGCCCTGGGTGCACTGGAGCATGGGACAAGGACCTTGTAACTGCGTGGTCCCCAGTTCTAAGCAGGGTGGAGCAGTGGTTTATGGGATCCGTGACAGCTCCCTTTTTATTTATCTATTTATTACTTTAATTTTCTAGGATTTCATTTGAACAAAATTCTGGGAGATGAAAAAAGAAGCGCAAGAAACTGCAGAATTGCTGTAATACCCTCATGCGATTGATGGGGAGCCTAAGGTCAGAGGGTAGGGGCCCAGGATACTCGGCAAACAAAAGCTAATTCTGGGACTTGAGTTCTTTGGATTCCTGGACAAGGCATTTTACCCTCTGAACTCGTCCAGCCTGTCAGGTCTTTTCAAGAAGAAGAGTAATAACCATGTGAAGCCTGACCTTCAGGTGACCTCAGGCATTTACTCCTCTCAGCCATCTTCTTCAAGTCCTCCAGTGATGTCAGGACTTCTGCATGGCTGAGCCTCCCCTGCACCCCGCAGTGGCCCTGGAGGCAGAAGGTGCTCATCAGTCTTTAAAAGCAGAGAGGAGAGGCAGCTGCCGCTTTTATCAGCACCAGCAGCACCGGGCAGGCCCTAGGCAACGTGCCAGGGGCTGCATCCACATCCTGATTTAACCACCATCACCAGGCTCTGGGGGAGAGATGGCTCCCACTTCACGGATGAGAAAATGGGAGACTCAGAGAGGAAAAGGCGGATGATCAGGAGGCCTTCGGCTGCTGGAAGCTTCAAACTGAGGGGTCTCTGCTGCCAAACCCTTCCTGCTCACGTCCTCCCCTGCTTCTGGGTACTGGTCCCCAAAAGAAGCAAGGTTTCTATCTGCTCCTTCCTTCCTATGTAGGTCAAATTCCATTCCAGCAACTCGCTGGGCCTTGCCCAGTTTGAGCCAGGACAGCCCAGGCCCAAGCTCAGAAACCTCTCGGTCGCTTGGGTAGATTTTGCTCTAAGCCCAGGTTGGTCAACTATGGTCCGTGGCCGAATCCAGCCTGCCAGCTAAGAATGGGTTTTACATTTTTAAGTGGCTGGGAAAAAAAAAAAAAAAAGAAGGCTAATATATTGTGATACATGAAAATTGTATTAAATTTAAATTTCAGGGGAGTTCCCTGGCAGTCCAGTGGTTAGGGCTCAGTGCTTTCACTGCCGTGGGCCTGAGGTTCAATCCCTGGTTGGGGAACTAAGACCCCACAAGCCGTGTGGCTCGGCAAAAAAAATTCAAATTTCAGTTTCCATTAATAACATTTGATTGGAACACAGCCAAACTGTCCCCCATTCCTTTGGGGACCAGAAGTCTATATTGTTTATGGCTGCCTTTGTGCTACAACAGCAGACCATATGGCCCACAGAGCCGACGATATTTACTTACAATTTAGCCAATTACAGAAAAAATTTGCCCATCTCTGCTTTAAGCTCCGGGTGCTCTGAATTAACAAGTGCAAACCCAACACACGAGCTGCACAGGACTTTTCAAAGCCTTCCAGGCAAAACCAAATCGTCTTCCAAAAAGGTGTTAAATGCAAACAAATGACTCCCTGAGAGTCAGTACCCGGGCATCTGGAGAAGCTGACACCCCAGAGAGGTACCCATTCAGTGGAGAGGTGGGCACCAATTTGACTATGATAAGATTAATTTGATAAGACCATGGGAATATGTAAAGGTCCCCAACACTCTCAGCAGACAAGTTTAAGTACCCCACTTGTGTGACCTTGAAAAATCCTCTTCCCCTAAGACCTCCCGTTCTCCATAAGAGAGGTTTCCTAAGAATAAGAAATTATATTACTAAGGAAAGACAATACCCGAGTGCATGTTCCCGACACTATTCTAGTCAATGGGGATTCAGCAATAAACTCAACCGAATCCCTGCTTCATGGAACTTGATATTTTAGTTGGGGGCTGGCAGCGGCGGGTAGGGTGGAAGGGTAGAAAAAAATACCTAAAATACATCAGGTGGTGAGTGGTATGAAGAGAGAAAGTGACGAGGACAATCACTTAATTCTTAATCACGGTGGGACATTTTGTGATGGAATATTATGCAGCTATTGGAAAGAATGCAACACATCTGTATGTTCTTGATACGAAAAGAGTGCCAGGTAAAAAAGCGAAGTACTAAACAACGTATAGAATGTACATTTTGTGTAAGGAAGGAGGAGATAATGAACTTGTATAATGGCACTTCCTTATATGTGCAGAGAGAAACACTGCAAGTATTGGTAGGTGAACAGGATGGGCTGCACTGGGCTGCACAGAACTATGTAGAAAGTGTGATCCAATTACACTAAATTCCATTTATAGGCACACATATACACATGCACAAAAAGAGGTCTGTGAGGGTAAACACCAAACCGTTACAGCTGGGAGAAGATGTTTACTCTCTTCCTTTGCATGCTTCTCTATAGTTGGCTCCATTACAGTACTTCTGTAATTAAAAAACCCCCCTGCAACCTGACCTAGAGAGGTAAGTATTATCCCTGTTACAGTTGAGGAAATTAGCTCCAACAGGAGCTGTGGCTGGTCTGAGGTCAAATGGTAGAGCTGTTTCTGGTGGAGCCCTTTCCTCCTCATTCCCCAGTGCCAAAATAGTGGGGGTGAACTCTGGGCTAGGCGCTCTGGGCAGATGTCCTGTCCAGCAGAGGCCTCAGTAGCCAAAGGCTCGTTAAGCTGGGGTCTAGCGACAGCTCTCTCCCCTTCCAGGGTACCAAGGCCCTGGGGAGGAAAAGCCAGCAAGGTGGTGGTGCTGAAGTCTTGGACAGGGCGAACACTGCCCTCATTCTGCACGAGTTCAAGGTCTGGGAGCCCTGCTCCATTACTGCAAAACCCCAATGTTTATGCATTAGCTATTGAGCTACTCCCTCCCTGGCCTGAAGGCTGGATGGCAGAGCCTTAGGCTCTACTCCATGCCTCCCACGGAGGAGGCCGGTAACAACTGGAGGTTTGTTTTGGTGACCAGGCCTAGACACAGCCTCTCTGAGCCCATAGGTCCAACCAGGAGCCTTCTCAACCTCTACCATTCTGGGACGCAGGTTACCAAATTGAGCGGCTCTGCCCAGGAGTGAGGTGGGGGAGGGGGGAGGTTGCAGGTCCCAAGCCAACACTGCACGCTTCCCCTTTGTCCCAGGCCTCCCCAGCTCTGCCAGCTAGGGTGGGAGGGGGAGAGAACTGGATGCCTGTACCCTTGGAGCTGGAGCAGAGCTCCAGGCCCTGACATCCTGTGACCAGGAGGCACTGGGTAAAGCTGAGCTCTTTGAAGTCACAAGCTGATTACAGGGGGATTGGGGGTTGAGCCAGCTCCAGGCCAGGTAGGGTTGGTCCCGGAATGGCCCAGCATGGGACAGGGATCATCATGGACATGTTGACGATGTCCGTACACCCAAACTGGACGTGCAGAGGGTCCTTCCACTGAAAATAGCCGCCACCCTGCTTGAGGGCACTGGGCAGTCTCGCCACAACTACCATGCAGAGTGAGCCTCCATTTTACAGGGAAGAAAACCGAGGCTCTGAGGAAGGCCACTTCCCCCAGGTCATAGTTTTATGAGGATGTGTTTTGTTTCCATTCACAGAAGGCTTTCAGTTGTCAAATTATATCTAATCCAACTATTAGACTGCACCCAGAAAGAGGCTGGAAAGTCCAGGAGTCTGGGAACTCCTGCTCATTTGGGGTGAGTGGAAGGTGGCACATAGGACAGGGGTGTGCAGAAAAAAACATGTTTTTTAAAAACAAAACTGAAGAACATCTCAAATTTTTTGTGACAGCCTTATCTTGGCTAAGCCTCTTTCCTTCTCTGGCCTCAGTTCCCTATTTGTCAAACAGGGTTGGGACATGCACTGGAAGGTCCCTTCCTGCTGGGGACTTTCTTTTATCCTCTTATGCCATCCTAGAAAGGCTAGCAGGTGTTTTGTGGTGGGAGGCCAGTATGTGACCTTGGAAAAGTCATTTTCCATTGGATTGTGATGTCATCATGACTTGTTATCACCCTCACGGGGGGGGGGGGGGGCAGGGCAGCCACATCAGTTGACCCCTCTCTGGGCCTGGCACTCTCACCCATGGGCTACTCTGCAAACCAGCTTCCTGACAAAACCCCTACTGGAGAACTAGCCAGCAGAAACTTTAATGATTTACCCAACCAAGCGATACAGCCCGGGCATCCTGGGACTCCCCAAAAGCTCATGTTGCCCAAATGCCAGACTTCTGGACAGAGGCTGCAACCCAGGTAGCAGGTCACCTGGGGCCCAGGTAGGTGCAGTGCATCATGGGAATCCAGAGAAGCAAGGGATATTTATGGAGCATCCATGGGGACAGACAGACACATTTATTTCTGAATTCTTACAGACACTCTAATGACAAAAATGACATCATTCTGCAGACGTGGCAACTGAGCTAAGCTGGAATTCAAAACCACAAATGCAGGACTTCAAAAGCCTATGCTCTTCCGTACCACTGAGGGGCTGAGGAACCCCATGGATTTCTCATTTCTCCTTTGTCTGGAGGGCGGAGTGGCAGAGTCCTGGGGCATGACTGGGGTGCTAGGAGGGACTAGTTGGGAGTTCTTCACAAAGGGCTGGGTGAGACATCTGGGGGCAGGGCTCACCCTCATCTGTTGCCCAGGACGGAGCATGAGCAAAGTGCTGCTGGGACAGGAGGGTCTTCAACCTGTCTCCTCCCTACTTCCTACTCAGTTAAACTCAGCACACTGAGCCACAGAGGAGCACGACAGAAAGCAGGAAAGTCAGCTGAGTCAACTGAGGAGATGAGGAGAAACATAGCCGAAGGAACTTCAGAACTAGACACGCCTGGTTTTAAGACCTTGGGCAAGTGATATAACTTCTCCAGGCCTCAGTTTAACCTTTTGCACAAAAGGGCTGGGCTTGCTGATCGAATCAGCAGCTCCAAAGGGAAGGGCTTTTTTCTAGAATGTATACAGGATGATCCATAGAAAGTTTAGCAAAAAAATAAAATAAAAAATAAATTTTTTTTACTATAACTGTTATCTGTATTTGTCTTTTGAAATTTCTACTTTATGTAGGCATATAATCTATTATTATAACAGTGCACATACATGCATTTATAAATACAGATAAACCACTGGGAAGGAGGTGCTCTAAAATTATTTATTGATGGAGCCGGCAATCAAAAGTTTGGAGGGTACTGCATGAAAAACACCTACCTGCTACAGAACTGGCTGGCACATGGGCACCCCTGAAGTTAGGCAAACTCTCTCCCCTCAGCTCAAAATTCAAGAAAGTCTATGGTGAAAAGGGATAGTGTAGACTGAAAGCCCTTTCTGATTGGCCTGGGTTCAAATCCAATTCAGCCACTTACTAGCTGTGTGACTTCAGGTAAGTTACTTCCCTTCTCCGAGCTCTAGGCCCCTGAACCAGCAGAGCTATATATGGAGGGTCAGTGACACTGAAAAGCATTTGAGCCCAGAGCCTAGTGAACTACAAGTGACTGTTGACTTTCTCCTCCACTCTTCTGTCTCCTCTCAAAATATTCACTTCTCCACTCAACAGATGAACACCCAGGTCCTGCATCACATGCTGAACAGACATTTCTTACCCTTGCAGGAGTGAAAAAAGTTTTCCCTCTCTTACAGACAGTGAAACTGAGGCCCAGAGAAGTTAAGCGACCTGCCAGAGCCCTGAGGTAACACAGCAAATACTTAAGCTTTGCAGTGGCAACGTTCTTACCACTAGCTAAAATAGCTTCTCATTTTATTTTCATTTTGTTGTATCCCAGCATAATGGCTCACCTATGACTGTCAGGAAATGTGTTCTGGGCTCAGGGTCTCTCTTCAGGCCAGGGCGGGGTGGTGAAGCAAGTTGTTTTGATTCATCAGGCATAAAGGAACCTTTTCCCGCTGAGGGTACAGCCTGGCGTCACTGTCACGCACCTCTCCGCCCAGCCAAGACCTTGTTCAGTTCCACCGGACACCTCCACAGCCCATAGAAAGGGCAGCGCAGAGTTCAGTGCTAACCCCCCATGCCAGGTGGAAAAACGGACATCCTCGTGCCTTCCCTGCCGAATTTCAAAGAAAAAAGTCACTTGAAAATATTCTATAGAAAGGGGAGGAAGGGAGGGAGGAAAGAAACAATGCCCTAGAACACACAAGGTGGGGCCCAATAAATATTTGTTGGAAAGGAACCGTTCTGGGAAAGTCACAGAGATCCCCTGTAGGACAAGCCCGTTTACAGATGAAAAAAAGAGATCGTATCTAGGCAGTTGCTTGCTCCCGGGGGAAGGAAGAGTCCTCATCTATTCAGTCCCGCGTCCCTCAGCTCCCTGGCGCGCGCTACTCCCACTCCACTCCAGCCAGGGGCCCCTTCCCGACCCTCGGCCCCCCCGGGATCGCGGCGGCGGCCCCTGGGGTACTCTCTCCGTCCGGCCCTCACCAGCTCCGCTCGAGCAGGGAAACGTGCCACCTCAGAGCACATCTCCCTGGGTCTTGGCAAAAGCTCTGGGGCCTGCACTACGCGGAAAGAAGGGCCTCGGAAGTCAGGCTTTTCGCCTCAACCCTGTAGCCAGGCACCCTGGGGTTGGAGCCCGGGCCTTAAGAGAGTGCCCTCCGCCTTGGAACCCCGGAGGACAGGCGCGGGGACTGCGCGAGGCCGCGGAAAACGCCCAACACCAGGCCGCGCGCCCAGTGTGGCGCCCAGGAAAAGGGAGCATCTGTTCCGAGCCGGCCGAGCGGGGGCGGGTCCCTCCTCCTCCAAGCGCCCGGGCCGGGGCCCGGCCGGGGGCTCGGCCGGCTCAGCCAATGGGCGCCGCGCTCGGGCCCCCTCCCCCGCCCCGGGAGAAGTCGGAGCAGGGCCGCTGAGAAGGAGATCGTGAGCGACGTGCCGCGCCCGGGCCCTGGGTCCCCCGGCCCTGCCGGGACGCGTGGACGGCGCGGCGCCCCCGGAAGGAAGCCAGCTGCTCACTGCGGGCGCCAACAACGCACGCGGCGCCCACGCGCCCGCCAGATCCCGACCCCATCCCCGCAAGTCCCCGGCAGCGGCAGGGCGCTGCGCTCCAGGCCCGCGCCGAGCATGGCTCTGAGAGGCGCGCCGCCGGCCACGGGCTCACAGAGCGTCCGGGCCGCCGGGGAGGCCCGGGGAGGCCTAGGCCGGCGGAGGGGTGACCGGGGGTCCGCGCCTTTGTTCCAGGCGGGGAGGGCCCGCGGGCGCGCGACTCACCTTGCTGCTGGGCTCCATGGCCGCGCTGCGCCGGAGGCTCTGGCAGCGCCGGGTGCGCGGGCGGCGACGGGCGGGCGGGCTGCACTCTGCGGATCAGGCTCCGGCTCCGGTCCCGAGACTCCGACTACGACTCTGACTCCGACTCTGGTCGCTTGGCCTCCCGCTCCCTAGCGAGCTAGCTCCTGGGACCTGCGGCCCACGATCTGAACGCTCGCTGGGGTTACCTCTGAGCGCTGGGACGTTCTCGTTTATAGGACCCCAGCCATTGGCTGGCGCGGCTGGGGTGCGGGGTGGGGAGGAGGGGTGGGCAGAGCCTTGGGGGCGGGGACTGGGGCACGTCCGGGGCGGGGCTCCGCGGGGAGGGGGCCAGGGCCGGGGTAGTGGGGCGGGAGGGCGCCCCGCAGGCACCTCGCTGTGGCTGAGCGTCTCCCCTGCTCTCTGGGTCCCGGGAGTTCCCTCGCTGTGTGACCCTCAGCAAGTGTGCGCACCTCTCTGAGCCTCGGCAGCCTGTAGCAAAATGGAGGAGCTCGTACCGGCTGTGAGACAAAATAGGAGCGGCAAAGGGTAGCGCTTAAGAGCAAGGACTGGAGTCCTCACTCCGCCACCGGATAACTTCGGGAAACTAGCTGTACTGATAGAACCACCTCATAGGTTTGTTATGAAGATTAAGTGAGTTAATATTTGTAAAGTGTTTAGAACAGCTTCTGTTACGTGGTAAGTGGTATTTAAGTATTTGTTAGACTACGGGAGGTCTCCCTGCGCGATTTTCTCCCTTCCCCTCTCCATCCCCACATTCCTGTTTGTAAGCCAAGCCTTGCTTTAGCACAGGCTGGGCCCTCTGCCTGGAAATCTATGCCCACCTCTTCTTTGCACTTTAATATCACCCCCTTTGTGAAGCCTTTCTCCACTCCTGACAGTATACGTGACTCTATGGTGACAGGTAAGTGTGAAAAATATGAATGGTAGGAACACAGGAGAACTTGGGTTTGAACCAGCTCCACTGTAGACCAGTCCTCGAGTGATCCTAGGCAAGGTGCTGGCCTATGAGGCTCAGCTTTCTTCTGGGTTAAACGGAATGAACATGACCACCAACTTCATGTGCTATCATGAGAGATACAATGTCCAGATAAGCTCATGAAATACTTAGCACAGGCTTAACTCGCGGTAAATCCCCCTTTAGTGGTAGTGGTATTATTTCACCTTATTTCATCTGATTTCACCTCGTTTCTTCTTCTAGACCCGTGTCTTACTTGAGACACAGTGAAAGGAAAGACCCCCCCCAGTCCAAAGGTCTGGACAAAATCCTGAGGTTAGTTTGAGGGTCCCTTTCCCTATGGAGGGGCCCAGGGAGGGGCTACTTTCTGTTGGGAAGGAGGAGCCTGAGCTGACCCCATGACCCCTGGAGTCCTCTGTCTGGGCTGTGGGTCCAGTGCTGGCCTTGGGAGGGGGCACCCTGGCTGACCAAGAAGCCCTGGAAGGGAAGGCCTGCCCCTTCTGGGCACACCCCTGCCCATGGCTCCTATTTCTGCGGTCTCCCAGCTGCTCAGCCTGGAAAGCTTAGGGCCACCTCTCTCCTCATCTGGTGCCAAGGGCCCCTGAGTCCTGTTGACTTCACCTTCTGTACCACCTCATCCTCCTTCCCTTCCTTCTGTCTGCAGGGCCTCCAGTGCCTCTGGCCTCATGTCCTCTAGTGCTGACCCTCACTCTCCTGTTCGTATGTCCCCCGTTGCCATAGAGGCAGCGAGGTCCAGCCTGGCTAGCAAGGCCCTCAGGGCAGCATTTTACAGGCTCAGCCTCACCCCTCACACCAGCACTTTCCACGTCTGTACCTTTGCTCAGATTGTTTCTTCTGCCTGACTCCCTCCACCTCCACCTCACCAAGCCAAAATGCTTCTGACGGCACAAAGCACCCCTAGAATGGGGCCCCTTCCGGGAAGTGTCCCTGAGTCCTCCAAGAGCTTGTTCTCTCCTTTACCCTTCGATGCTTCTTAGTGTGCTGCTGTCCTTTCTGTCTCCCTCCAGACTGAGCATCTTGAGGATGGCTTCTGTAGCTGAGACACAGGGGTGAAGGGGTGAAGGAAGAAGGCAGGAATGAATGAACATATGAGCAGCTAGTCTGCCTGTTTCCTGCCAACACCAGTGTTCCCTTAAGTACTTTTTGGGTTTTGCCACGTCCCTGCTCAAAGTCTCTCCATCGCTCCCTGTTTCCGAGCACATCCAGTCTACTGCATATGTCTCCTCCCAGCTGTGGGTACACCCCACCCAGCTCATGGGGCACACTCACCATCAGGCTCCCTTTCCTTCTCCAGGCCAGCCCTGTGCTGGCCACTTCCCCAGGGGCAGAGGCAGGCAAGCCTGTTGCTAGCCTTATGGAGCCCCCAAACTGGAGAGGATGAAGCGGCGAGATGCACAGCAACAGTACCAAGCTGGGTGTGCATGGTTAAGAATGTGTATGGGAGGGGCTTCCCTGGTGGCACAGTGGTTGAGAGTCCGCCTGCCGATACAGGGGACGTGGGTTCGTGCCCCGGTCCGGGAAGATCCCACATGCTGCGGAGCGGCTGGGCCCGTGAGCCATGGCCGCTGAGCCTGCGCGTCCGGAGCCTGTGCTCTGCAACGGGAGAGGCCACAACAGTGAGAGGCCCGCGAACCGCAAAAAAAAAAAAAAAAGTGTATGGGAGAGAACTTGTACCACAGAGGAAGGAGAGGGAGTGGAGAGAGCTTCAGGAAAGGGAGAGGGCAGGCTGAGCAGGGTTTAGAAGGCTGAATATGAGTTCACCAGGTGGGTCAGAGGGAAGGCCATCCTTGGCAAGGGGAAGAACATGTGCGAAGACAGTAGACAGGCAGAGAGTGACTGCTGAAGGGGAGAAAGAATCTCTAGACCACACCCAGAGACTGATGGTGGAGCCCTGGATTTGGACTCCTGAGTCCCAGCTCTGCTACTTACTTGTCAAACATCACCAAGCAAATCCTTTCTCTTTTCTGAGCCTCAAGACTCACATCTGTAAAATGGGTGTAACAATCCCCTCCTGACTTGGCCAGAGGAAAAACGGATTGTGTGTAAAAGTTTATCCAAATAAACAGTACTAATTCATGATGTCAGAAGTCCAATCAAACCCCCTTCCTATGGTCAGGGTGGGACTTGAAGACAGAGCAGAGTGGCTAGAAAAACAGCTTTACCTTCGCCCTACCCCATCATACCTGCGCCAACAGACTCCCATTAACTGCTTGAAATTGCATTTCTAGATGTTCTTTGTGTAGAAGCTTTATGATCCCTGGAGGGTACAGTATAGAGGTAAATTCATCAGAAGCTATTGACACTGATCAGATATTAGATTCACAGGTGGGCTAGTTTAGGTTTTGGATGGCTGAGTCCTGGGCAACCGGATTTAACTGCAACCAGAGAGGAAGCACCAGAGAAAGCCTAAGGAAGTGAGCCTGGAAGTCTGGGATGACTGGGAAGAGAGAGCGAATGCCCAGAGTGGCTCATGGAAGTGCAGCTTAAGCCAGAGAGCCAGGCTAAGTAGCCCCTGCTGCGGGAGTGCAGGGGATTGGGAGCAAGAAGAGATGAAGTTAGGGGGAATTTGATGGGAGAAGAAGCTGAGGAGGGGTCAAATGCCAGGTATAGGAGTTAGGGCTTTATTCAGTGGGCAGTGGGGAGCCATGGAGGGTTTTTGAGCAGGGAAGGACCTGAGGAAGTCTCAGCCTCCTCTCAAGCCTTCCCTATCCCGAGGCTTTAAAGGGGAGTGTGAGGAGGCTGGGGTGGAGCCCTTGGGCTCCGCTTGGAAGGACCAAGTGCCCACCTCCCCAAGCTGCTCTCACACTGGCAGCTTTGTTCCCTGGAGGCTGCTTTAGCCCAGGAAGGAACTCGGACCTTTGGATTCCAAGCAGCTCTAGCCCTAGCCAGTCGGAGGAAAAGAGCTCCCTTGGACTGGCGGGGCGGTGTCAGGTGGCCAGGCGGATGCCGGCGGCCTGGTGCGTGCCTGTGCGCACGCTCGCACGCTCAGGGACCCCAGCCGCGCTGGGCTCGCTGTGCGCGCTGGGGGCGGGGCGGGGTGAGGGGGTAGGGGTTGGTAGCAGCAGCTCCTGAGTCTGGAGTGAGTAAGGGCTGCCCGGGGAAAGGCGCTTTTTTTTTTTTTTTTTTTTGCCTTTAAAGGCAAGCGTCTCTGGCGGCCAGCAGAAAAGGCTTTGCTGAGTCAGCTGCCGCTGATGCGAGTGGAGCTGGCAGGGACTGGGACTGGAGAGCCCCTGATCCGCAGGATATTCTGCAACCCCGATCCTCACAGGCTGCAGGTACACACTGTGTTGGACTCCTGGAAGTCCTGATGGGCCAGGGAGGACAGTTTTGTATGTTTAATATTTTCATTCTGATTTGCGCACCAGTTCATACCACCTGCTCTCAGAGAACTTCTCAGCTTCCCTCCTTTATCCTTTCACAAGCCCCTCCCCGGCCCTCTGCACACGCTTTCATCAGGGCCACCACCTGCTCGCCCGATGCTGGGGGATATTGAGGGAACACTTCCTTCCCCCAATTCTCTCCCGCACCGGGCTTGTCTGTCCAGCTGCCTCCAGGACAGCCCTCTGAATGCCCCACAGGTACCTGGCCTTCACCATGTTTAAGTCTAAACTCATTATCCTCTCCCATCCCTCCTGGTCCCCCACTGCAGAGACGGTTCCTCTATCCACCAAATAGTCCAAGTCAGAGATCTGGCATCTTCCTTGACTCTTCTCTCTCCCTCATCCCCAATATCCAGCCAATCCTGTGGACTCTGCCCTTCCAAAATAGCACTGGACTCCATCCCCTTCTCTCCGTTCCACTGGTCCTGTGCTAGCTCTGCTCATTCTTCCTCCCACCTGCCACCTCCATGGTCTCTCTCAAACATCCAGCCAGCACGTGGTCATTTCCTTGTTTAAGCATCTTTCCCTGGCACACAACAACGTGGCTACAACTCACAGACACAATGTTGCGTGAAAGAAGCCATATGCCAAGGAGTGTGATTTCATGTATGCAAAGTTCAAAAACAGGCAACACTTATTTATAGGATTAGAAGTCTGGGTATTAGTTACCCTTGGAGGGATGAATGACCCTCAGGAGGTCTGGTAATCAGGGCTGGGACCAAGGTGAGGCAGATGAAGCAGGATCAATATTATTGATATTTCCCTTTTGCCCTGAACTTTAATGTGACTCAACACAGCATTGTTACTAATCCTGTCTTTATCTAAAAGTTTAATATTTTGTCATCATGGATTTTCTTGCATTAGTTTTGGTTTTTAAAAAATATTGCATTAAAAATATTGCATTAAAACGTTATTTATCTTGATGGCTGAGCTTTTCGGTACCCCCTTAAATTTTACTCAGGAGGTGAGTGCCTCACTTGCCATGTCCTAGTCCTGCCCCTGCTGGTGATGTTTTGTAATCAGAGTGCTGGTGACACGTGTGTGTTCAGTTTGTGAAAACTCATTGGGCTGGACAATTCCAGTTTTTACACTTCCCTGTGTCCATGTTATGCTTCAATTAAAAAAAATTTCTTTTACTTAAAAAAAATTCTTTCTGTGGTTCCAAGGGAATAACTGCTGTCTGTTTCTTCCAGCATCCCCAGCACCCAAAATGGTACCTGGCTTCTTCCAGTTAGTTTAATCCCCACAAGACCTCAGTGAGATGAGTCTTTTTCTCTCCATTTTCTAAAAGAGAAAACTGAGATTTAGGGAAGTGAAGTGATTTGCCCAAGATCACACAGGTAGTAGGTATGAGTTCTAGCACCTTGATTAAAAAAAATAAACAAAAACTCTGACCTGTAGCACCTGCTCAGTCACCTGGCCCAGCACCAGCACGAGCAGTGCCCCAGGGCCTGGCTCTTTACCGCTGAGATTACAGTTATTTGAGCCATATCTTTCCTCCCAATAATGACCTCCTTGGGGTAGGGGCTCAGGCATCCCTGTCTTCCCTCTGTCCAGCGAGTTACTTAGAGCACAGAGAAGAGGCTCTAAATGTTTAATAAATGAATGAAGCAAAGAACGAACGAGTGAGGAGGCCGGCAGTGATATACGGTGGGTGGAACACAGGCTGGGGAGGCAGATCTGCTAGCTGTGTGTCTTTGGGCTTATTGCTCAGTCTTTCTGAGTCTCAATTTCCCCACCTGTAAAATGGGAATAATATCAGTACTTACCTCAAAGATTTAGTGAGAATAGGAAGTGAGAAGATGACTGTCAGGTGACTGGCATATAATACATTCTTGAAAAATGGTAACTACTGTTATTCTTTCCAGTGTTTCACGTTCCCAAAGCCTGATTTACTTTAGGGTGGCAGGGATCGACCTCTTTCGATTTCCGTGTATTGTTGGAAGCAGGGGACCTGATGCAGACCCCAAGAACTTTCCTCCTTGAGCCCACAGAGAGGACCAGTGCCGGGACAGTCCGCAAGTCTGGCTTTAGGGCCCAGCTCTACCCTTCCTGTGGTGCCATCTTTGATGAGTTGCTTCTTCTTTGTGAGCCTCACTTTTCTGTCTGTAAAATGGGGCTCAGAATAATCTTGACCTTGTGGGGCTCTGGGGAGGGTTCAGTGGCTTGTCCCTGGGCCTAGTCCACAGTATGCCTTCCGTTAAGGTTGGCGCCCTGGGGAAGAGCAAGGAGACCAGAGGCTCTCAGACCCTAAGAAGTCCAAGGACTGATGGGTAAAGCAAATAAATAGCCTGGCTGGGCTCTGTTTTGTTCTTAGAACTTTATTTCTCCCGAGAAGTGAAATAACAATGCCGTTTATGCTGGTGCAACTTTTTAACTGTGCAAAACACCTTCTCAGTGTCATTCCTTGGGTCCTCCCCACACCTTGTGCGGAGGTCATGACCAGATTTATTCATATGCCCATTGGACAGGTGAGGAGACCGAGGCACACCAAGGTTAAAGCCATTTGCTTGAGGTCACACCAAAGGAGGAATTGGGTAGCAAATGGAAGGTGTGAGACCTGGACCTCTTAACCTCCAGATACCACTATGCAGCAATTTGGAGCCAAAAGAAAGCACAGACCTCACCTCCTGAGTGAGCGGCCATGGCCCAGTCGGCATCCGGCTGTGCCCACTTCCCCCACTCCCAGCCCCACCTGGATGCCACCTGGCAGTCACATGTACATTCATCACGGAGGAGCCGGCTGACTCACCGCATTATACCGGAGCTGACTCACCCTTTAGAAGATGGAAAGTGAGACACTGAAAGCCTGGAGAAGCCCTCCCTTCCTCACTGAAGCTTGAAATTAATGCCCCAAACCCACGGCAGTTTAGCTCTTAAGAAAGGGAAAGCACTGGAGGTGGACATCCCTGGACTCAGAAGGCAGTGGTTCTACTCCACTCTGGGCAGTTACGGGTTTGCTGGGTGACTTCAGGCAAGTCACTGTCCCTTTCTAAGCCTCTGTCTCTTCAGTTTCGTAATGAAGGGGTTGCAACAGGTGACTTCCAAGACCTTTGTAGCTCTGGGTTGAGAAGCCTTGTCATAATAAGTGCTAGACCTCAGTGTGCTCTTTTTTTTTTTTTTTTTTTTTGTGGTACGCGGGCCTCTCACTGTTGCGGCCTCTCCCGTTGCGGAGCACAGGCTCCGGACACGCAGGCTCAGCGGCCGTGGCTCACGGGCCCAGCTGCTCCGCGGCATGTGGGATCTTCCCGGACCGGGGCACAAACCCGTGTCCCCTGCCTCGGCAGGCGGACTCTCAACCACTGCGCCACCAGGGAAGCCCTGTCCTTGTCTTTAAACTGTGATAACGACAACAACAACAAAACTGTGATAACCAGTGTCAAGGGTAATTTGATCCTTCTCCCAGTGGGCAGTTGGCTCAGACTTGGACTGAAGTTTCAGCGCTTCCATTCAACAGCTGTGTACCCTCAGGCAGGTTGCTTAACCTCTCTGCCTCTCCCATTTCCACATCCCTAAGATTGGCCTAATAAGTCCGGCCTTGCAGAGCTGTTGGCAGGCTCACAGGAGACAGTGGATAGGGAGGTGTTTGGAAAGTCCAATGCCCCTGCTAGAGCTTGTTATATATGCCCTCTTCCTGGCATGCTGGGGCTGGGACCCTGGCTTAGACTTGTAGGTGTGAGAGCTGGAAAGACCTTAGAATTGTGCTTTTCAACACATTTACAGATGAGAAGACTGAGGCCTAGAGAGGCGGATATGACTTGCCTAAAGTCACACATGGAACTTTATACATCGTGTGCATCTATGCCTCTCGCACAGTGCCCCGCATGTGGCAGGTGCCCAACAGACGTTTGCTGCTGAGGCTGGAAGGCGGGGGCCGTGTCATCGAGGGAGGGCCCTGACTGCTTGGCTCTAGAGCCCTCCCCTCAAACAGCTGGCATTCCAGCCTGTGTACCCAGTATTGGAAAGTGGCTTATAGAAGGTGCTGGGGCACTAGTCTTCTGTCTTGGGTGTTCTTTTTATTGGTTCCCAGAGGCCTGGCCTTGTGGCTGAGAGTCCCATCTGTCTTATTTCCTTAGAGTAATCATTGCAAGGAATTTTTTGGTTGCCAGTGTCAATATATTTAAGCCAACTTCAGCCAATAAAGGAGACTTCATTAAAGGCAACAGAGGTGTCCGGCAAACAGTGGCAGGGGTGCAGTCAGATGCTGACTAAGCTTGGGACCTAGTAGAGTGCCACCGGGATGGTCTACATCCCTCATTCTTGCTTTATTTCTCTTTCCCTTCACAGACAGGCATGTTCTGCTCCACGTGGTAGACTGTAACCACCACACAATGCCAGAATTTACCTGGGACCACTTCAAGGCTGACTTGACTCTCTCCTGGTCTAGATTCCAAATTCTAGAAGAGAGAAGCGGATTGGCCCAGTTTGGGTGAGATGTTTGTCCTGGGTCCTATTGGCTGTGGTTAGGCGGTGGGGTCATAGAAAACGAACAAGGCTGGCAGGGCTCATATCTGTTGTGAGGGTGGGGTGGAGGAGGGTGCAAACACATGCATCCGTTAAAAATGTGGAACAGAGATATATGTTCATTGACATGGAAAGGGAGTCAAGATATTTTTGAATTGAAAAAATGGGTTACAAAACAGTATGTTTATCACATTTTAAAAAGTAAATATGCATATGTAATGTAATTGAATTTCCATACATAGATGCTAAATGTTAATTGAAATTACGGGTAGTAGAATTAGGGGTAATTTTTCATTTCTTCTTTTGTAATACCTGCATTTTTCTCTAATGAATGAGTGTCAGTTGAGTAATAATAAAATGATCACTTTTACCACCCAGGGCTGCAGTGTGTGTTAACAAAGACATTTATTCACTTATTCAATAAATATTTATTAAGCACCTAGTACATGATGGTGCTTGTGAAAGCTACACGATGACTGGCCAGCAGTAGAGGTTCAGCCATTGGGGTCACCCAAGGCTCTACCTCCAAGGTTTGCACAGCGGGCTGGGTGCTCAGACACAGGTGCTCCTGCTCTAATGGTCTGTACGCGTTCTGAAAATCTAGGAACTGAAAAACGGGGTGTTTCAGCTATCTACTGCTGCCGAATAACCACTCCAAAACTTAGTGGCTTTAAACAGCAATGATGTATTTCTCTTGATTTGGGGGATTGGGCAGTTCTGTTCCCCGTGATGCAGCTGAGGTTATTTATGCAGTTGCATTCGATGGGGTACTTGGCTGAGGCCATTCTCCACACATGGTGTTGCATCCTCCTCTGTCTCCAGCAGGGTAGCCTGGGCTTCCTTACAACATGGCGGCTGGGGCCACATGGGAGAATTTCTCAAGAACAAGCCCAGGTGTGGAAAAACTTATCAAGCCTGCTCATATCAATGCAAATCATTCTGGATATGACTTGCTTTGTCTCTTAATCTATAATGAGCATTTTCTCTTTGAGTAAATATTCTTCCCAGCCTGATTTTTAATGGCTGACTGATAGCCCATCATTGATTCAACCAATCCCCTACTGATGAATATTTAGGTGGCTTTCATTTGGGAACAGTTATAAGCAACACAGTGAAGATCAACTTTGTACCAAAAACTAGGTACAAATCCTTGTAGGAGAGGGATTGCAGAGTCAAAGGAGACGGGAATTTTTAAAACTTTACCAAATCGCCCTTCAAAAACATAGTATTTACTTGTTGCATTTCTACCGGCTGTAAAGGGACCTACCCTTTTCACAATCCTCTGGTCAATCCTGGGTGTGGTTAATATTTTTAATCTTTGTCAGTTGGATGGGTGAGAAATGGTATCTCATCTTTGTCTTCAAAGGGTGAAAATTAAAAGTAAGTTGCCCAGAGCCAGATACTTAAGAAGAGTTTTTATCTTTCTCTGGGAAAGCGCCCTAATAAATCAGCAGGGAGAAGGCAGTGCTCTGCGGTGTGTCTCTGCCCGCTGACTCAGGCTGTTAAAAGGAACACAGGGCTGGCAGCTGAGCTCCTGGCTGTGGAGACGAGGTCAACGTGTCCTCACAGTGTGGATCGATTGGGACAAGCCCGCTGCTTTCGTGTCCTGTGTCTGCGGGTCTTCCGGTGTGCACAGGGCACACGGCCCCACCTGCCATGACCGCCAAGTCCATCTTGACTCTGACCCTGTCCACTCTGACCCACTCTGGAGGGCCTGATGCTGAGGCCTGGAACCTGGCCAGCTATGACTAATGACAGTTGTAAGGTGAGGCGTATAAAGCAGGATCCTGAGATCAGTCCTTGGCCTTGAGCAACCAGAGCCATACCTTCTGGCCTCACAAATTCATGAACTGGGGGACAACTTCCTGTGTGGAAGCAGGTGTCCTGGACTCAGAGTCAGCCCTGCTTCTCACTAGCTGTGGAACAAACAATAGAGCTTTTCTGAGCCTCAGTTGCTTCATCTAGAACGTGGGGGTAACAGAGCTATGAGGATTATTATGTATTTACTCTGTGCCTGATCCTTGTAACTCTCACAGCACCCTCAAAGGTTGGGAGCATCGTGCCCACTTTGCAGACGAGGCAGAGTGAGGCTCAGAGAAGAGAAATAACTTTCCCAAGATCATGCAGCAAATAAGTGGCAGAGCTGGAAATGAGCTCAGGTCAGCCTGGAACCAAAGCCCACGCCAGCTCCTTTTACAGGCTTTGTAAAGGATTGGAGGAGAAAAGGGCATGTGAAAGAGTTCTGCAACGTGTGTCCAAAACAGCTGCAGTTACAACCTGCCGTCACCCTCTGGATGGTTAGAGTCATGCTTAGTGGGTGGGATGGCTGCGCTGGGGACCGACCTTGGAGAGCCAAGTTTCCCATTAAGTTCTCCAGAAAGGTGCCTGACTGCACAGCTATACTTCGGCTTTAGTCTGCTCTCTCCACAGAGAGAGGCAAGGCCCTTCATTTAATAACTGCTGCTATTTACTTATGGAGCTATTACTCTGTGAAGCGCCCTGTATTTGCTTTGGTTGTGATCCTGTTCTTTAGCAGGGGCGCAGGGACGTTAGGAGGGCAGGTAACTGCCAGGGCGGCGGAGGTGGATTCCAGGCCGACAGGGGACGCCACCCTCCTAACCAGGACTCAGGGAGTGAGGCAGTCAGGGCTGGACCACCAGTGTTTACGAAGCCTTTTACCCCAGGATCACTAGAGCCTCCTTTCAGCCCTGCTATTGTCTGCCCAACAGATGGAGAAACTGAGGCCCAGGGAGAGGAGGGGCTTGCTCCCCCTACTGCCTCAGCCTGCTCCGTCTGGAATGCGGATGGGGAAGTTGCAGGGAAAAACTTGCCAGCAGGGCTGGACCTTTGCCTACCAGCTGAGTTGTGACCTCCGCAAGGGCTGGGAGTTCCAGGGAACTCAAGGTGGGGCAGTCTGGGTAGAAGTGAGATCAGAGGGCAGGCCAGTCTGCGAAGAGGAGAGGGCAGGTCTCTGGGGGGTTGTGGGAAGAGGAAGGGAGCCTGGAACAGGCCAGGAATGGGGCATGGTCTGCGGATTGCTTAGCGGAAGTTTTAAACTGGGGCCATGTGGGAATGTGGAGCTCTGGGTCAAAGGCTCCTGGGTGCCAATTATAATTGTGCTACTTATGAGAATGGTGTGTTTGGGCAAATATTTCCCTGAGCGTCAGTGTCCTTATCTGTAAAAGGGCTGGAACATTCCCTGAGTTAGATCCTGGCTCTACCACTTATCAGTGTGACCCAGGGCAAGTGAATTCACCTCTCTGGGCCTCAGTTTCCTCATGTGTAAGATGGGCCTGCTAGTAATGGTACCTACCTCACCTGGTTGTTGTGAAGGTTTATGGGTCTAGCAGCATGTGTAGGCTTCCAAGCTTTCCACCTGATCAGTCTTTGCTGTCATCATCGCCATCTACCTCGACGTCTTCCTGGGGCTTAAACAAGGCGCTGGTGCAAACTGTCTGGCAGAGGCATTATTAGATACATCGCCCCTTGGTGTCCACAGGAGATTGGTTCCTGGACCCCTGTGGATACCCAGATCGGAAGATGCTCAAGTCCCTTATATAAAGTGGCATGGTATTTGCATATGACTTACACACATCTTACCACATGTTGTAAATCATCTCTAGATTACTTATAATACCTAACACGATGTAAATGCTATGTAAATAGTTGCTAGCATGTGGCAAATTCAAATTTTGCTTTATGGAACTTTCTGCCATTTTTTTTTTCCAGAATATTTTTGATCCGCTATTGGTTGAGCTATGGATGTGGAGCCCGTGGATTGGAGGGCCGACTGTAATTACAGGGCAGAGTGACAGGTGCTACGATGTAGATGGTAGGAGGTGCTGTGAGACTCAGGAAGATGAAAGTTCTACCTGGCTGGAAGATAGGTGTGGAAGGCTTCCTGGGAGAAGTGGCATTTTCTGGGCCTTGAGGAAAGGACGTGTAGAAGTTCTCAGGTGGAGGAGGGGAAAGGCAGACAGATGAACTTGAGTGAAAGCTTGGTGGTGAGAGAGCCTGAGCATGTCTGGGAACGTGGAGCCTTTTCATTAGGCTTCGTGTCTGGGGCGAGGGGCAAGGCATGAGGCTGCCTGGGGGAGGGGGTAGGTGCTGGGTGCAGAACGCCTTGCCTGAGGGTTTAAACTCACTCCAGTAGGTGGGGAGTTCCTATGCCTGTCTACATGGAAGAATCACCTGAGACATTTAAAAAGCACAGAATCCGGGAATTCCCTGGCAGTCCAGTGGTTAGGACTCTGCGCTTTCACTGCTGAGGGCCCCGGGGCTCTATTCCTGGTCGGGGAACTAAGATCCCACAAGCCAGGTGGCGTGGCCAAACAAAATGAAACAAAAAACAAACAGAATCCATGGTCCCACCTGGCAATATTCTAAGTAGCAGGCCTCAGCTGGGACCCAGGACTCTATACTGTTTAAAGCGCCCCAGGAGATTCTGATGCCAACCCACGTATGGGGACAGGGTGTCTTTATGCAGGGAGGGGCCCTATTGGAATACCAGATTTGAGCAGAGAGCTTGAGAAGATGGGAAGGGGGTGTAAGAGACCCCTGACTCTGACCCCCAGCCTCCCACCCCTCCCCAAGGAAGTCCACACTCTGATGGTCACATTTGCCACCAGGGATGGACCCTAGAGATGCTACTGCCCTATAGCCCTCTAGCTCCAGGAAGGACAACCTTCTTTCTCTCTGCCCATCTGTCCATCTGTCCATCCATCCAATACAGTTTTTTAGTTCCCCACCCTGCCATTTTCCAGGCATGGTGCTGGATCATGGAGGTACAGGGTGAATGAAGTGGACACTCCGTGCCCCCCTAGAGAACCTTCCATCAGTCCTGACTCCCTCAGCTGGCTAGCCTGGAGTGCACCGGGAATGTGGCTGAGCACAAGAGAGCTGGGACAGGAAACCCACCCGGGGGCTCAAACAGCAGCAGCAGTGGTCCATCCTCCAGGCCCCTTG